AAGTTGTGGGACCTGCTAGAGCAGTTGGCCTGCTCCAAAGCCCACCGTAATATCGAGTCCCTGAAAGCGGATTTGATCCGATCAGCGGCAGCTATTCCTTTGGAAGCTGTACGTGCAGTGATAGATGAGTGGCCCGCGAGATTGAAGCAGTGTGTGAAGGCCAAGGGGGGACATTTTGAATAAAACTGTTTGATTATGAATTCTAAAAATGTTGTCGAATAAATAATATCTTTCATATAAATATATCTTATCTTGTTTCATTTTTATCATGAGATTATCATGGGACAGAACTTATGGCACGACTACGTACATATCCACTATTCCATTCAAAATAATGTTATGTTTATTTAACAATCTTAACTTTGAGCTTGTACGTCATCAAACGCATTATAAGCTGCATAAAAATACGACCATTCATATTATGATTATGTTATTGAGTTCGCACGCCAAACGTATGATGAGATTCGTGTAAGCAAACATTACGTGCAATCTATAAATCAAATAATGCTTATGTAGGTACATCAATTTTGTGATAACATACAACCTCTAGATTTCTAGAAAAATACATTACAGACATTACCATGATGTCCTTCTTTTATTTACATATTACATATACAGATTGAAAAATTTGGAAACTGAGAGTTACAACATATCTGTGGTATTTTACTTACAACACCTACTGTAACTGAGAAACATTTAGAAAATGAGATAGGTATATTTTTTTGTTTGTTAAGACATAATAATGCTTGCTCGTGACAATAATTTTGAAGGCTATTTATCTCTGTTTTTTTCTTCCTAGGTAAAATATTATGGAATTTAAATTATCATACACACCTTTTCACCTTGTTACGCCTATTAAGAGCCGGAAAATTATCTTTGTTCTATTTCCATTACGTTGTGTATTTTCTAATTAAATAAATAAGATTTTGTTTTAGTTATTCTATTATTCAGCCTATGACTCATCGTGGTGTTTCACCGTTTACTTTTGCCAGAGTGTAACGAACTAAAAACAAGCCTACATGTAAAAAATGTAGGTTTAATTAGGATTTAACACGTTTTCCATGAAGTATTTCGATCGCGTGAGGTTTGGATTAGTGCTTTAATATGTTCCGCCACCGTATAACATTTCCGATCATTAGCGTAACAACGCTTTTTTCCCGATTCCTGAGCCCTCAAGTATTGTATAAATTAAAATATTCTTTTACTATTTTGGAATTGGGTCTTTATTATTCTTGTATTATTCGAAATGTACCTTCGCTCCTAGAGAATACAAACATTTTAGAATCAGTGAAAAACCTTGCCCTAATGTATTGAAAAATAGAAGTTTAAAACATTTTTCAAGTTGTTGATCCCTCGACCATGGATAAAAATAGGAATCTGAAAATAATTATTTTCCTATTAATTTGGATTCGTTTCTTTTTATTTTTTGCTATAATAGAAATACATATATAGACATCGCCATCTACGAGATACTAACCTTTTCAAAGTATATATTATATAGAGAAACAACTATGACTTCTTCAGGTAGAATACGGTAATCAACGGTAGTACCTTGTAGTCCAAAAGCTTTGAAATTGAACCATCCGAATTGGATGCAAACATAAGGTGATGAATGAATACCTCCAAAATACGAAATGTGTCTGGAGCTCTGTATCGATACAAAGTGCCGATATTTTTCATAAATCTACGTATGATTATCTAGATCAGTATGGGTGTGGGTTGCGGTCTCCTGGGGATTGCAATGAGGCACTAGGAAATTTACATCAGTCGAAACATAAAACTAAATATTAGTGAGTTTAGTGGAACAGATACTATTACATATATGAATTTATAAAGTATAATATGATAATTACATATATTAAATTAATTCTTATTATAAGACATGTACACATTGTACATAAAATTATAATTAATAATTGCATATATGTATAATGAAATACGTACATACATATGTATTGATGACATGCGAAAACAAATTTTTTAAATAACAACAAAGGACAGAAAACTTATTTAGAAACAGTTTGAAAAAGTGTTAGAATAGTCGCCTGCTTAAGTTTTTTTTTGCTTCGCATTATCACGACATTTCTGAAAATATTCCTAATTTTTAATTTGTTCAAAGGCAACATAGTCTTCTTTTGCGAAGTTTTTCAGTTCTTTTAGATAAATTAAGGCTTCATCATCGCTTTTTACTTTATTTTCCTCTTCTTGAATCTCCCCAATTTTATCATCCGTCTCATTCTCTTGATTGATTCACCACCTGGTTCTACGACTAAATGTACAAGCTCAGCATCTTCAGTTGGAGTGTTTTGATAAATGCTAACACATTCATCTAAATTTTGATCGTTGGTAATGTTCAGCTCATCCGCAGCTCGGACCATCGTCGCGAAAACAGATAATGGCAAGTCTTCCTCGGGATCAAAATGAGGATCCTCTTGCCCAGCTTTTCTGAACCCAGCTTCTAGGAAACAATTTTGTATTGTTGTCTCATAAACATTCTGCCATGCAGTTTTTATAAAGTACAATGCCTCCAACACATTAATTTTTTTGATAATTCGGAGGATTAGGCAGCAACGGTGGCCGCAGTAGTAGACTCTTCGGTCTCTTGATCAGTCGCCGTGCGCTGTGCGGGTTCGAATCCCGAAATTTTTCTCTTGGTTATGGATGTTGTGATTGTCCGTAGGTGGTAGACGGTCTCGGACTGTCGAACGCAGAGGTACCACCCGGCGGATCTCGTAGGCGGGTCCAGAATCTGTGCATGTTTCATGCACACGTGTTCCCTCGCCTGAGTCCGTGTGGTGTTCCCCCTTTCCCCTGAATCCCCCTATAACCCCATGGGTGATGATGATTTAACATCATCCATATTTAATAAAGTATGTTTTAAAATCTGATTACGATAATAAAACTTAAAATTTCTAATAATGCCCTGATCTAGTGGCTGACACATTCTTGTTGTGTTTGAAGCAAAAAGATAATTTTAACATTTTTTAGATGTAAGTTTCGAGGATGAGATGCAGCATTGTCTAAAAATAGCAGAATTTTTCTATTTTTAATGCCCATTTTTCCAACTGGGCTAACCACTCACCCATTATTTCGCGCGTCACCCAGGCTTTTTTATTTGACTTCCACATAACAGGTAAATTCTTAATGTTTACATTTTTCAATGCTCGAGGGCGTGCAGATTTGCCAATCACTAACAGTTTTTCTTTTTGTCCAGTAATGCGTGCACAGAATAATACGGTTAGTCTTTCTTTCGATAATTTTCCCCCCGAACAGTCTTCAGACTTTAAAGCCAGTGTCTTATCCGCGTCCGTTTATTAGAGTGCCCGCTTATTGGAGTGTACTTTCTATGTTAAAATATAGGATTAAAATCGCTTCCAAAAAATTTTGTCGCTTAAGGAAGATGGTCGCTTATTAGAGCTGGCCATTAAGAGAGCTTTCACTGTAGTAAGATTACTTGTAACTTAGGCACACTATTTTTATTATGTTGGTTTGGGTATCAAGTAGGGGAAAATAGGGGGTGGGGAGCAGTTTTTAAAGAATAGGGGTCACACACAAATAATTTTAGGAAATACTAATATATATTATTATCAGTATGTGCAAAAGATGCTGTATTTGTTTAATGACATAACATTTTTACCCAGAAACCAGAGTATACTTTCCCGAAGATTTTTGATTCGCTGAATCGGAATTCCTGGTCTAAATTTCTCAATTGACTCTACACTCTTAGATATCCTAACCCAAAAGTGCAAAAATAGCGAGTTTTGACTATATTGGAGGTTATGTAGCATGGTAAATTTAAAAAAAAATGTTAAGACATCATACGGCATTTTGACATTTTCGTCTTTGTGGTTTGGATTATGATGCACCAAGTAACAAGTTAGTGGATTTCTATGTAATAAGACCTGCCAACTAAAAAACCCATAAATCAACAACACTAAATAAAATATCTAATGCCGGAACTGCACGCTTGCCTAATCGCCGCAAATCGTCACAAACGCAAACATGCGGATAGAGCGTTTGGCTTGGTTTGCGTGGGTTTGCAAGCGCTTGTAGCCGATCCGATCGGGTGTCGGTTTTTTGGTCGCAAATCAAAAGGAGTTTGCCACAAGCGTTTGTGACACATCCATACGTTTGTGATAGGTACTATTTTTGAAACGAAATATCAATTTCATTAAAACAAATACCATTTACATGGTACGATTCATATGAATATTTAACATCCACCACCTTCTTTTTCGTACTTTTCGTTTTAGCTTAAGCCAAATGCTACGGCAGACACAAGTTCGACGTCCGTCATGTTTGCCTGTTGCCTTTTCAGTGACGCACCCGCAAATGTGTGGACGGCGACGTTTGCTTCTTCAAAAAAAAGGCAAGCGTTTGTAGGGGTTTGGAGTTTGCGGCAAATGGCAAGCGTGCGGTTCCAGCATTAAACATATCCGTCACAAGCCCAGAACCCACCCTACCCAAACAAGGCCTAGTTTAATGGTCTTACTTTCGATTGCCCAGTTCTTTTTAAAATAAAAAAAAGGTTTCTTCAGATATAAGCTGAACCGAACTAGATTAGAAAAATGAAAATTTTAAAGTTGCGACATCTCAGTGAATGAAAAATATACCTAAGCAAACTCAACGGCGTTTGAAAGGGCAACACTTGTTCTTTGCGATGAAGACTATGGTATTTTGAAAAAAAGATTCGCCATGCTACATAACATTAAATGTAGGCAAATATAGCTATTTTTGAACTTTCAGGTTATGATATCTCGGAAACTAGAGCCAGTTAAGAGAATTGGACCACGGATTCGGATTCAGCGCATCAAAAACCCATAGAATAATATATTCTGGTTTCTGGATAAAAATCTTACTGGTCTGTGTTATCTAGATTATCAGTGAGACTAAAGGTTGCTGTGTTTGTTTAATAATTTAATCAGCGATTTCCCCTTATTATAAACCACATTACACATCTCCGCCAATGCTTGATATCCATTCATTAAAATGCACCATGCCGTAACTCAATTGTTGTTTTATGCGCACATACACTTTTACCATCAGCACGTTATAACCGTGTTGTTCCGAAATAATGCGAACAGCTTGATGTTGGTGTATCTAGAAGTAGCTGAAGTGTCTCTTTTACTTTTTCAGTGTGATCAAAATGGCGTCGCCAAGTGTACCAGTGCCGAGGGCCCGTCAGCCTGGGCTAACTCCTTCGAAAAGCTGCTTGAGGATCCCTTGGGCCTACATACCTTCGCTGTGAGTATAAAATAAACCTATATTTTACTTTACCTATAGTCATTTGCAAAAAAAGGCTTGAAATTTGGAAACTAGCCCGCTGGCCATTTGATAAATCGTGATTTTTCGGATTTTAACCAATTTGTACTGATTCTTTCCTTAAATATGTTAATACTGAACATTGAAATAACTCAGTTTCTCTATTCGCCCAAAAATATTTGTTGTCTAGATTTATTGTAAGAAAATCTCCTCGGCGACATACAAAAACTGTGTGGACACGTCGTGCGCGTGATTCGGCTTTCCTATCGGAACAAGAAAATTCGTTCGTCTTGTCTTTATAACGGATGCAGTGTTGCCAATTGGCGGAATAAGTTCCGATTTGCGGAACTTTTTGGATCCTGGAAGAACTTTTTGGGAACCTAAATTTTAGAGGAACTTTTCGGAACTATTTGGAAAGAAATACCGGCAATACCATAAATATATCCGGACAGGGTACAGTTTCGATTTGAAACAGTTCAACACCTGAGAATTCTCCCTGTCTCTCTTTGTGTCAGCTTAAACGACTGAGATGGATAGTACTGTGGTCAGTTGGGTGACTCGATATCAATAAACTCGTGGCAATTTTATTAAATAGTTGAAAAATAAAAAAACCTATTTTCCCATCAATCACAACCAAACATCTATTTTCCCATCAATCACAACCAAACATCTATTTTCCTATGCTATTCTCTCCCATGTTGGTTCTCGAGTATCTCCTAATCGTCGTGAGCTGTTTTACCTTCACCCCAAGACAATTTTTCCTTTAGCTAGAAATGTGATTGTCCGTAAACAATCTCAGACCGTCGAGTGTGGAGGTACCATCCGGAGTAATTCTTGAGGTGGGGCCAGAATGTGTGCATATCACATGTACACCTACTTCCTCGCTAGAGACTGTGTAACGTCCCTCTTTCTTTCTCGTATAGAAAAAAAGTCTGGGAATTATCTTTCGATCAACGGAAATAAATAATCAAAGTAAGATAGGAACACTTTCAGACTTTGGCGCAATATTTCGAGGTCGATAGTTGTTTTATGAATATTACATGACAGTTTCGGACAACCATGTCATTTCCGTGGGTCTGTCTGTCTGCCAGCCATTGATTCATCTATAACTCAGCAAGTACTGCTGCGATTTTAATGAAATTTTCACATAAGATTACTACCATTCTAAGGGCGAAAAAGCTACGTAAATTTTTGACGTCATGAACGAAAAACAAAACATTTTAAATCGCCGCCTTCGCCAAACTTAGTGTTTCGAGTATCTGGTCATTTTTGGGACTGATTAAAAAAATGTTTGAGTGTAGTTGTTTCACCTGTTTTTTTCGACTTTTCTTAACTTTCTGGTATTTTGGGGACTTTCGGACGTGAAAAAAATATATAATCAAATATATATCATTGTACTGAAGAAGATCACCTTTGTGATTAAAACGTTTACAATAAAGAAGAATCAGTCGATCATTTGGTTTTATTTGTCATACAAGCATATACATTTTGGTATTTTTGGAGGTGCATGCACACATGTCTTACCCGATCCACATTCACCAAAATCTATATTTTCTATGTCGAAGTTCTTTCATATTTGTCCATCGACCCCCCATTCTGGCTTCAGATTCGTGTGCAACGGGAAAATTGCATAAGAAAAATATAGTTGGTCCCCCAATACATGGACCCGTGAAATTGTTTTCCAGAAGGTCATCTCGCTTCTCGAAACCTTTATGATATTTGAGTAGGTTTTTTTAATCTGATAAGTTTTTAGGTTCAGTATGTCGGGTAAAGTGTTCTATGGGCTGAATGTACTTACACGGTCTTCGTAGTTACGAAATGTAGGCATTGTGGAGTTGATTCGTTATTTCTAAGCGGCATGGTGCAGATCCAATTAAAGAATGTCATAGATACTCGATGCTAATTATTTAGTCTCTTTTCATTAACATCCATAACACAAAAGCTTACAATTCCACAACCCACATAAAGAAGCCTAATTACCGGGGATGTAAGAGTAGCAGTTGCTAAACAACGCCCTTCGATTTTGACAATAAATACGATTATAATTTGGTTACAGTTTACATGGTATATTTTCCTCTTTCCAGGAGTTCCTGAAGAAAGAATTCAGCGCGGAGAACATCTACTTTTGGTGCGCGTGCGAACGGTACCGCCGTTTACCTACCATTGATCGATCCGGCACGCCCACCGGAGGCGGGACAGGAAGCGGTGGTGAAGGGACTGGCACCGCCCCTAGCAGCGCTGCACCCAATTGCGAACGGCTGCAGGAGGCTCAACGCATCTACAGCCAGCATCTGGCGCAAGGAGCGCAGGAGGCCGTGAATGTGGATGCACACGGGAGGCAGTGCGCGGAACAGGGGTTGCAGGTTGGTACTTTCTTCGTTTGGTCATATAGGATGTCTCAGAAAAATGGAAATGAAGGATTTGAGCGCAAAAATATATAGAATAGGGGACGACATCCACTTTGGTCGTTCATAACTGTGTTTGCTATAAGACGGTATTTACGCGAGGAAACCTCATTCGGACTTTCTCTTTTTGGAGCACAACTGCGATATGCTGTTAATTTAATTATATTATGGGCTCCAGAGGTAAACATGATATCAACCTTTTAAGGAAAAATCTTGCTAAACCTCTCTAGTAATTAGTAAGTCTACTATAGTTGGGTTTACTTCTAGTTTCAGTCCAGTTCAGTTTTTGCTTATTGGCTTCATCAGGCTTAAATGGATGTGCATAGAAAATACCGAAGTGAAAACATGTCCATCACATCTGGATACGGGTGTAACCTGAACGAAAACAAGGATGGAAAGGGAAATACTATTAGAAGCCGTCTTCGCTAGGGTTCCCAATCCATATATTTCTGCTCCTGTTCCTTTATTGCGGATATGCCCACGATTGTCCTGCGTGTTTATTTAAGTTTCCGCAACACTACCTGTCTTCCTTTGTATTTACTCACGAGTTTGAAATACCACGGAAGGTAGCTCTAGCTGGGCCTCTGTGGCGACGTTGCGTTGGTTGATACCTCGTAAACACGAGTTCTTCTGACCGAAATCAAACATGTGCCTGCTGGCTCCTGTTGGTGGCTTCTAGTTGTATTTTCCTTTCCATCCCTGTTTTCCTTCAGGTTACACCCGCATTCAGATGCGTTGGGCATAAGTTTTCACTTTGGTGTTTTCCATGCACATTCATTTGGGTCTGATGGAGGCAATAAGCAGAAACGTACATCGCTCGGGTAACCAATACTTTTATTTCTGCTCCTGTTCCTCCATTGCCGATATGAACAAGAGTGTCATTTGTTTTTGCATCTAAGTTTCCGTAAGACTACTTGTCTTTCTTTGTAAAAATAGGAAACTTCCTCATCATTCCCAAGACTTTGTGTTGCCTGAATTTCTCAACAACGGAAAGGCAAATCCCATAACATGCGGCAATAGTAAGAGAAGTGTCAACGCTGACACCAACCCGACCCAATTTGATTTGGTATATTCTGGTGATATATGTTAATCAATGGTTCAAATTGCTAAACGTGTAAATATGTAAGTAGGAATACAGGTTCTGTTTAACACGCAAACGATGCACTGACAGAGGGATTTTCAAAATTCCGCCGAGGAAACAGAGAGGGAATTGAATGTTTCTATGAAAATAAACATACATATGCTCTGATTTACATGAAACCTGGAATTTAGCCTTAGGAAGTAAATCAATTGTTCGTGCGATCAAGAATTTTTGCCAACTACTACTAAAATACGGGCTGAAAGTTTGTATGATATTCTTGTGCTGAATAGGTTCTGTTTGCTTTTCTCCTCTGTGACCTGTCTATTTTCTTATTTTTCTGCATTTGTTTTAGGACCCGGACAACACGATCTTCGACCAGGCGCAGAAACAGATCTTCAACCTAATGAAGTTTGACAGCTACCCACGATATCTGCGTTCCGACATCTACAGGCGGTGCGTGTCCGGCGAAGTGGACCGCGCCCCGCTAGATGCCCGCCTCCAGCTGCAACCGACCGCCCCCCTGCAGGCTACCACGCCCCCCGCGAAGCTCAAGAAGTCGGTCAGTAATGCCGAGGATAGGCGGCGGAAGTCGTTGTTGCCATGGCATAGGAAGAATCGGTAAGTCGGAGGTTTATACATGATGTTCTTAATTATGGGAATTTCATTCGCAAGACCTATGGTATTTATGAAAGTCAACAAATTTCCCTTATTACTAGACAACTAAAAATTTTCGATACCAAATGCGGTCCTGCCTCCAGCAAGGGATTGGTGAAAAGATACGACATGGCGGATCATCCAACCTAGGCGAAGCGCGGAGTATGTAAATCGAGTTTTTTGTTTATAAGTCGGGTACAGCAAAGTTTAGTATTTATCCCAGTAGCTTCAATACGTTATTAGTTTTAATCTTCGTATTTTGGGATATATTACTCGAGGTATCCAGTGATTATTCAAAAAGCCGTCTTTTCGACATTTATTTTGAGGAAGACATCAGGTAATCATAGAAATCTCGGCTTATTGAGTCAAGTTTATCACTGAAAACCTTGAGTATGATATCCAAAATCCGAAGATCAATACTAATAATATAAACAGGATTTAAATAACCCTAAATTGAAGCTTGTCGATGTAATGTCAATTTGCGGTGTTTTCCGGTGGTTTCCATCCTGCGCCGCGTAGAACTGTTTATCTTGTACAAAAACCAATTGAATTAACGTCGAGGTGGTCACAATATAAGACATAGACAGCTCCGAATGTTTTGAATTAAGGGAGATTTTAGTTTTTTTATGGAGTAGTGGCAGCTTCGAACAGTATTTTTAAACAAATGACATCTTGTCATTTTTCGATTCTATTCATTTCGCTGCTCTTTTACCGCCGATTAGCTTTGTTGTTTTAAAAATTTAGACATAGTTGCATGGCTCTTATTTCACTTCCACTAATAATGTTTCGCCGCAACCCTAGGGCAGTATTGCATCTGATTCACTCAATTTTTATCTTGATAATTTTTAGTGATTTCGTTTAATCGCCCTATAGTCTGCTGGATTTGCAACTTATCAATATGTATTAAATGTCTCTGAATTTTAGAACAGAGTAACTTCTCACGTATTGGTATAAAGTATAAAGTAAAAAGCGATCTTTTTGATGTATGTATATTAGGTTTGTTTTCTGTTTGCAGGTCAAAGTCAAAAGATCGAGGAGAAATCGAATATGCTCAAAAACAGGAATGTACGGGCGTAGAAAACGAAATTCGTAGGAATGGAAGGAGTGAGATGCATTCGAGCGGGTCGTCGTTGACATCGTTGGATCTCGCTATTTCCAATCAGGTGAAGATCAATTATTTTGATTCCAGGGAACCTAAATGACAACACTGGATCGATTGTACTGCCTAGCAGCGAGATAAACCTATAGCTTGCTTCTCGTCTTCACCAAAGCACATTCACACACCACTAGACGGGCAGCACAGAACCTTGTTGACATTTTACACTCCCTATGATGCTTGTGTGTTGAATTTTTCTTATTGCAACTAACACAATATCTTCATGCTTTGTTAGATACTTGAGGGGTATATAAACTATATCTAAATCCAAGTCTAAAACCATTGATTCATACATATATATTCTGTCTGAAGATAGCCAACCATATACCAAAGAGTAGCTATACCAAGGGAAGAGAGTTAGACAAATGAATTAGAGAACTAAATCATGGCGTCCACAAAACAGCTGATGGCGTCTAGACACGTGCTAATTTGGTTAGTTATAATTGCTGCGTTTTTTGGGCAAATTTACTTTTGTTGGGACATTTCTTTTTTATATTTGTTTTAAGATAAGATATTCTCCAAACTTGCAAGTTATCCCATAGCTATTTGATATACTTGCGAGTTATCTAGAAGGCCTGGTCTTAAGACTTACTTATTCCGTAAGACTTTTTGACGTTACCACCAAAAACCGTGAAAAGAACTGAACTCCATTCAGCTCAGTATACAAGTACCGTTTTCTAAACGTTTTGTCAAGTTTAACAACACCGTACATAAGCGAAACGCGCAGCATGGGTATTATAAAATGTCATCTTGCAGACTAGGCAGTTTTTAGGGTCCACGTCATTCCACGTTTGCTCGTTGTGAGCGTCCATCTATTGAGGACTGACTCAACTACACGCATTGTTGGTTGAATATGTTTTGTGAAGCCGATGATTATGTGTATTGGTCTACATGTATGTAAAATCAGTGATATTTGCTGTGTGAGAAAATTATTACTAAAAATGCTCCCAATGGAGTATATGTAAGACAGGTTATGTTCAAAGTTTTAAATTACGATTTTTCACGTTTTTTTTTTGTTTTCAAAAACTTTGAGGAGCATTACGAGAATGAAGAAAAACTGCATGCGCAACTAATTTCTAGCTTTGAATCTGAAGTAAGTGAATTTGAGACAAGAATCCAGTGGACTTATCATCAACACATATTATTAGCACGTGATGCACCTATTGCCGTTTCCTTCTAGCTACAATATACAACTCACAGCTTAGACCTCCAGTAATGCAATCTCTGAAGCAGATTTTACATCTCAGCAGAGCCAAACATTGATAACTAAAGCATCATGACGTTTAAGCAACACGTACAACAAAACGAGTTCACAACAAGTGTCCATCAGTCTTTCTATGTTGGCAGGCGATGCAATAGCTGTATGAAGCTGTTGAGCAAGTTCCAAGGCTGTGGAATTCATATTTTTCATAGAAGGCCACCATGCGAATTGTTTTACATTCTCAATTAGATGTTTAGAAAACATATATGGTTTACACACTTTGCCTGGTAACTAATAATAATTGGCAATGCTTCTGCTTTGCTCTTGACTAAGTTTTATTGCCTCTAAAGCGATAATCAGGCAAATTTGCCAAAAAATGGGCTGGGGTCAAAGCCATTTTCATACGCTCCTCGAGTTTATTTGTATCACTTACCGAAAATTCTCCATTTCCTTGTTCAGTCTCGAATGCTTCTAAAAATTTTAGCCATATATCTGTAGCCTCTCCTATAGTGCAAGCGTTTCTTTGGACTTTGTCCAAAGCCAATGCGACATACTTTAATTTTTTTAAATAGTCTTGGGCATTTGTCTTTAAATTGGTAAACATTAAAAATTCAAAGTTACCTGTATTATTATCTGGATAAAATTTTTTTGAATATCTTTGAGTTTTATATATCTCATCTAGCGTTAAATCCTCCTCTAACTCGGAATCATAGATAATAATTGACATTGGTAGCTGAGAATTTTCAGATGGAACACATCTTTGAATATGTTTCTTCATACGCAGCACTAGTCCAGCCATAATTACTTTACATTTTTTACATTTAGCAGTCACTGATTTTTTGTTATTATCTTTAACAACATCAAAATAGGACCAAATGGCATCTTTCTTCCTTCCTGTAGACGACATTTTTCAAAAAAAGAACACCACAAAATAACTTACAGTGGACGTTATTGCAATATCCAATTTGCAAAGCGAATTTATAAATAGTAGTCTGTGGTTCCCCCAGGCCAATAGTTCCTCATTGCAATTGGTTTTTGTTATTTCGGGGATTCACCGGCACAGCCTAACGGCGGCGTGGCGCGACGTAGTTCGTAACAGCTGATCGCGACAGTTTAGTACAGAGTCGGACTTTAAATAAGGTATCTATTATTTGGTAGAATAATAAGTCGAACATTTTCAATTAATATTATGAAAAAATATGATTTAAACATTGTTTTTTTCTAAGTTTCATTTGTTTATAACATAAAATTTAAAAACAAAAAAAAATGTTTATAACAAAAAAAACATGTGTTTTGTATAAGATAAAAAAATAAATGTTTTTTTCAACCCTGCCATCAGCTAGTGTTAAGTTAACATCTTGTAGAAAAACCTACATAATGTCACAAATAACCGATACAATGTCAAAAAAATCGACATGTCACTTTTTAAGATACGTAATACCCGTGCGAATCCTTAGCAGAATGTCGAGCCATCTATGAGCGAATCGGCAAACCAAGGACGATCATAGAAACATATTCTTTTTTTTTAAATCAGCCATAGTCCATGAGCTGACCGCAAAATTTTGGTTACATCGCCTACTATGATACGATAAAAACTGATCAAATCTTAGATTTGATGTTACCAAAAATTTGCGGTCGGCTCCCCTAGTATAATGCAGAAGCCCAAGGTCAATGGAGCCGGCCGTCGGATTATAAAGACATTCTACAAAGTGTCCTGCTCATATAACTACTCTTTGCATTTACATAGTATATTCCAGAGTCCAAAAGATACCAACGCCATCTACGAGACAAATCTGCTTTGAAATGATTTCAGAGTGTTTGGTTCCGCCACTGTCTCATAGATGGCGCTAGGATCTTCAATACCGTTTTGGTCTTTAATGACTATGTTAAATGAGTATCTTTAGGTGGAATGCATATTTAATGCTTTAAGTATCTTCAGCTTTCATTCGTCATTCACACAGTGCATGACTGTGTTTACATCCACTCTATCTTGGAGTTTGATGGGGCTTAGGCACATCAAATTTCCTGTATTTTTGCGGTCTTTAGGATATCTTGATAATATATAATAACATTTTGTTTTATATTTCAGGATACTTCGAAGACTGGTCAAAACAATCGCGAAGACTCGTCTGGAAATGGTCGTTCTGCCTTATGTAAAGTAAATTTAAGTAACGGTAGCACGACCGTTGTACAAATTAGAGAATCAGAAACTATACAGGAACTTGTAAATAGATTATTAGAAAAAAGAGGACTTAATTATTCGTCGTATGAAGTATACACCGATAAACATGGAAAGGTAATTTTCATTATTTACTATAAGTTGCGTTATATGTGCACGATGCTATAGTAGATAGTTTCTCAGCTTCCGATCGTTCTCCTACATGAGACCAAGCTTAGACCATGCTGATGAGTTGACAAAAAGCACGAAACCGCTGTGCATAGTTGGCGTCGGTGGTTGGACGGATGAAGCTATATTACTAAATTGTTTACTGGCGAGTACACCAGAATCGGCGGCATCTAACGGCCACAGTGGTGACCCGGCTGTCAAATGCGAACAGGGTTACAGTTTCAGCAAACAGCTTGCTGTTGCACTCTCACAGTATTCGGTATCGTAACGGGGCAGTTTTGCAGTTCGTTCCAACAAATTTTGGGATCGTGCCGGAACAGTTTCATTACAGTGAACTTGGTACATGTATTGAAATGGGAATCAAAGGAACTGAGCTGCGCAGTAAAGTTGTTGTCATGTGATTACCTCTAATGTCCAACCAAACTGTAAGCGTGCTCTGATAGGCTAAGTATTTTTTACTTAAGATAATTTATAGATATTGTCCAGCTTTCATTGCGATGAGTAGTGACGAATGGGCTACCTGGCACATTTTAGTTACAAAAACAATTCCAAAAACATTCCAACCACCTTCCAGTCCAGAAAAAGTTCTGGAATCATGACCGGTCTGCGCATGCGTATAAATGGGTACCAAATGATAACCGGATGGTGCCAAGACTCAATGTTGGAACAAATCTAATATATGGCACTTTCTGCTGTGTTATTTCGATCTTGTAAACGCTTTATTTGTTGATGTTCAACTCGTAAGACATCATACGAACACCTAGACACTGTGTACTGGTTAGAAAAGCACACACAAGATAAAAACAAAATGTGCTGTCGACTTGACCTTTGGGCTAAACCCAAATGGAAGGTCCCACATCTCAGACTAACGGCACAGTTTAAATAGTACCCGAGTCACCACTAATTTCCATAACTTAATTGCCACACCACGTATAAAAATAACTTGAATAACACGCTTACCAAAATTATTTTTAATTTTGTTCGTTTGTTTAGATTTATTTAGCATGATTGCCACAATTTTACATTCTTTAAACAAACTAAACAATTACATAACATGCAGATATTTAGAAAAAACAAAATTTGCATATCTCTAAGAATTTTCACTGTCCATGAAATATTCCTTTAATTTTCATTTAAACATATTTAAATTACAAGTAGACTTTACATCATTATTCAGTTTATTAAATTAAAGTAATCATTTCTGAAATATTGATTTGCTAGTTATATTACAATTACAATTTTGTATCAATATATATACCTAAATATTTAAATGATTCAACATTTTCAATTATTTCACCATTTATCCTAACTGTGATAGTGTTTTCATTTAGGTATTTCCCCTATTAGCATACATTTTGTTTTAGAAGTATTCAATTTTAGTTTATTCACATTTAACCAATTTATGATTTTTGCCAAGTCAGAATTTAGAATTTTTAAAGCAGTGTCTATATTTCCATCTGTTATGTATATTAATGTATCATCTGCAAATATCTGAATTTTGCAATAATCTAAAATATTTCAAATGTCACTAATGTATAAAATAAATAGTAGTGGATCTAGTTTACTACCTTGTGGTACACCAACAGAAATATTTTTTGAGCTTGATAATGTAGATCCAATTTTGGTTCTTGGACTTCTGTCAATTAAGTGGTTTTGTAGAATTTTGTATACAGATCTTTTAAATCCGCAGTGATGCAATTTTGTAAGTAATTTTTTTTTCAAAGTCAAAAAACATTGTTACTGTACATTTCCTATTGTCCATATATCTCCCCCAGACCTCTAACACCATTTGTATTGTAGTTTCAGTTGAGTGTTTCTTCCTGAATCCAGCTTGAAGTTAGGTTAAAATTTCATTTCCCTCAATAAATTCGATAATCTGGCAGAACAACTCAAAATTCTTAACTTTCGAAACAGGAATTGTGGTAGAACACTTCAGTTTTGTTGGAAATTCGCCATATTTTAAACAGTAATTTATCAGGATTAATATTTTTGCTCAAATAATATCAAAAAGTTCATTAAGCACACTTTTCGACAAAATGTCACTCTTATTTTGATTTTATTTAATTTTTGATATAATCTTCTTGACACGATTAATGTTTATTGTTCTAAACTCACTGAATGAAGTATTATAATCTGATCTATTGAGACATTGGTTGTGATCCCCGTCAATAATTGATCTTACAATGTCGTTGACACTTTCTATGAAATATATATTCAATCGATGTGCTATTATTTCATTTGTTATTACCCCATCGTCGAACTCCATTTTAGATAAAGTATTTCTTCTAATAGGAGAAACAATTAGCAATAACTTTAATCCGTTCGACCAACAGGCCAACTGCCAACTGCTTATTGACAATCATTAGCACGTCTAGGTATCTAGGTAGAACAACGAACGAAATCAGCGCAAAAGCATCATCTAATAGAGCTGTAAAGCCTATCGAAATACGACCACACTTAGTGACCATCTATTCACAGCCCCAGAGCCATCTTGGTGCAGGAGAAGTAAGAACTGAATTTGAGTATTGTTTACGTGCTGATTTCAAAGATGTTTTTGTTTTTTCATAACAGCTCTAGTTTTGGTGATATAAACGATTTAATATTTAAAATTTTAGTCCCCGAAAAACAAGATGAAAAAGCCAAGGTTGCTAATTATGTTTCAACAATCCATTAACCCGCTTGTCTTTAGTCAAATTGTGAACGTTTAGGCATTTATTTTACGTCTTCCTTAGTACTACAAAAAATGTGAAAGACATACTTTTAAAAAGTCAAAATTGTAAATGTAGCAATGAAGTGGAAAAAATTACTAAGAAAATACACAAGAATATAAAAACTATAGAACCCACAAACAAAAACGATGATAATAAACGTACGAACATATTATATAATAATTTAGACTTTAAAAAGTTAAAAATGTATTCGTTAAAAATGGTATATTACAAAGAAACATATCAAAAACCAGATTTAAAAAATAACCTATTGAATGAGATATATGTATGTGTATACAAGGAGCAATCATAAATTCTGAGAAAACATAACACTGCTTAGGGATTAAGAAATTGTCAAATTTGAACTCTGTAAGCACCATTTAATAAACAATATTGGCATGATAAGTCAACTATAAGCAATTAAAAAGCAAATGTTTACAATACCAGTACCCCCTAAAATGCTTTGTGATTGTTTAAACGATATTAAATTTAGGAACTTTGGCGCCATTCAAATTCTCGTTTTTTCATATTCTTTTTCGGGATGGGAAATGCCACATTCATATTTTGAATGTTAAATTAAATGGCTTATATCTCGAAAACTAGAGCTTCTACGGAAAAAATAAAAGCCTTTTTTAAAACCACTGCATCGGAAACATTTGCAATCAGTTTTTTTTTTCATTTTGTTGAGCTGTGTACAGATTTTTGTTTGTTTGTTGAAGATTTATTTAGCATTAATGCTACAAAGTCAGTTTTGTATAATTACACACATATTTTTCTTCAATCCATTCTGTAATTTTACATTCCTGTCCATTAAAATTACATCATTATGCATTTTGAGTATTCATAAAGTGATTTTTTAATTCCACCTTAAAGATTTTTGAATTCGAACACTGTTTAATATCATTATTTAGTTTATTAAATTAAAATGCTCCCATTTGAAATACGGATTTGATAGTTATTCTACTATTACAATTTTATAGATGAAAATCTATGAAGCCTCTAGTTTCGTAGTAATGATAATGACTATTTAATTTTGTGAAGTTTTGTAAATGTGGTAATAAAGGATTTTTTAATTTGAATATGAAAATGAGAACTAAATAACATATGGAATTTTTCAGATTCAACCACTGTAGTTCTTCTAACATGGACTTAATCCTAGCATATGTATTTTTATTTGAAATGATTCTCATAGTTATTTTGTAGAATTTGAAATTTTGAAAATATGATTTCATTTGCTGTAAACAAGATGGTTGAACATTATAAAAAATGAAGAAGAATTACAGTGTTATACACAATTTTTTTGGAATACATACTAAAATTATGGGAAACTCTATAGAAGTAATTTATCTTTTTTTGATATTTTTGAAATATTGTATTCATAATGCTCGTGAAACAGTAGTTTACTATCCACATATTATACCCAGATATTTAAATGATTCAACTACTTCAATTTTTTCATCATCAATCATGAGCCTAATTGTATTGTCACCTAAATGTTTCCCTATGGACATACATTTTGTTTTGTTGGTGTTCAATTTGGGTTTATTAACATTTAACCAATTTATAATTTTTATATCACTATTTAACAGCTCTAAAGCAGTGCCCAAATGCTTATGTGCTATATTTATATATATCAATGTGTCGTCGGCAAATATTTGAATTTTGCAGTGTTCTAAAATGTCAGAGATATCATTTATATAAATAATAAATAGTAACGGCCATAATTTCCCCCTGTGGCACCCCTACTGATATATTTTGAAAGCTTTACATAATATTTCCAGCTTTAGTTTTTTGACTTCTATACTAAATAATTTTGTAAAATATTTAATACTGATCCTTTAAAACCATAGTGATGCACTTTCATTAACAACAGATACATAACTTTTTTTTCATAAAAATATTTTATTGCAGCCGCAAGACATCACAGCTCCATCGTCGACCCTTTCAGGTCGCGAGGTCCTTGTCGAACGTCGCGTAACCTTGAAACTTGACCTTCCTAACCGTAAAACGGTAACCGTGAAATCGCGCGGTTGCAAACAGTTGAGTGAAGTGCTGCGATCAACGTTGCACAAGTATCAGTACCAAATGGATAAAGTGACAGTCGTTGATGCTGATGGAAGGCCTTTGGACCTTAGGCTGTCCGTCAGTGAGGTCGATGGGATGAGGGTTGGTGTCAGGGTCAAAGACGGTGAGTTCTTTCCTATTTGTCTCAAGTTCTTATATCTTAAGAAACCAAACTAATCCTTGGAAATGTATACTTGACAACCACCTTCACGCGTGCATAAAACAAAGTAAGAAAATATGTGAGATAACTAACATGACTAACAACTTGACTGACTACATTTCTGGTATTCTAGGGATTGTAAGAATCTAAAAAATAATGGAGTTGGGGTTTTCGGCACTGGAAATAACTCTGGGTTCAAGTTAATCGCTTCTATAAAATGTTTCCATTTCAAAATTTTATCACATGTGTATTTGAAAGTTTCATCAAGATTTCTGTTTTTAATTCAGCCCTATGATTATTTTTTAAAGGCCCAATTCACAGGTTCACATTTTTGCCATTTTTGTCCAAAATTTACCTATTTACCTAATTAACCTAGTTTTTTATTTGTGTCAATTGAACTTTGATCAAACGCACTATGACGAAAAGCATATATATATACGAGTATATAGGTATATATATATATATATATACAGGGTGACTTTGAAGTTGAGTCATTAATTTTCAGATAATGATTGTAGAAGGAAGATAAACCAAAATATGTGTGTAAAAATAAAAAAAAAATAAAAAAAATTTTTACCTTGTTTTATAAAGTATCCTCCCAACAAGTATTTCAGTGCGGACCTGTATTTGATCGTGAGGTCCCCTGTGAGGTCTTAAGTCACCTGATTCACGAGCCCGTTGTACTACATTAACAAAGGCACGAGGGGTTGGTTGCACTCTATTGGGAAACCGATCCGCATAAACATGTGCCATTTTTTATTTCGTTTGAGCCACGCAACAGACACTATTCACACGCGACTGACACTGACTGTATGTATAACTGAACTGATTAAAATAATAAATTGTACAAACATCGTTCCAAATTCTTTCGCTTTTTTGTTTCCGATGCGATGAACCGGTAAGGCGGATTATATCCGTTGTTGCCAAACACGAGCACATGATATTGAGACAGGGCGGTACTCAAACTTCCAGAGGGCTATAACTTTGTTACTTTAATTTTACCAGAAAAATGGTAAAGGAAAAAAACATTTCTTTTGATCACATCTACTCACTGTTAAAATAAATGACTCAACCCTATATATATATATATATATATATATATATATATATATATATATATATATATATATATATATATATATTATTGTAGCGTTTTTCTGGGTTCTTTTGGGTGTGGATGAAATTTTTTATTTATTTTTTTATTTTTACAAACATATTTTGGTTTATCTTCCTTCTACAATCATTATCTGAAAATTAATGACTCAACTTCAAAGTATATATATATAAAAGTGTTACTTGTAATATACTGTATTATAGCGACAATGCGCTTATATAAAAATAATAAGTTAAAGATTCTATTATGAAATTTTAGATCTTAAAAAAATGAAGATTTAAAATAAATGGGAAAATTTCATATATGCCATCAATTTGAAACTTGAATTATTTCCAGGGCCGAAATCCCCGTTTATTGACCCTGATTCTTTTGTAAACATACCATTTATTGATTTTATATAAATACATTCTTAAGTCATGCGTTTTTACAGTTTTATGATCAAAAGGAACGAATCAAGGTAAACATCGTATTTTACCGAATCTCTAACGTTATAATTTCAATTTGTTATTATTAGTATTATTTCTAGGCATCATTTGTTTATTCTATATTCTCTAGTGCAAACATTTATTTTGTTTGCTGCATGGTAACCTTAAGTCGTTTATACATTTTGCTATGGTACTTGATGCATGCTTTCATAATTTGGAAATAAAGAAATAAATGATATTATTCACCATTTTTTTCCAATAATTATAGTATTTCACTGCTCAGTCGAAACCACATGAATATAGCGGATTATCTACATGAAAACAACATGATATGCTTCAAATATTACATTAATTTTGATTTTTTTTGTTGTAGACGTCAAGCAAGACAATTCAATCCCTGTGTTAAAAGTGAATAATGTTAAGGTTAATAAGCTGGAAGAAATTACTAATAAAGTTTTTGAGGGTATACTCCAAGAGAAAGCCGACTCTGCCACATTCAAGCATTCCAAGTCGGACAGAGGATCAGTGAAGGTTAGTATTACATTTTCATGTTCTATATTTTTTTAATTACGACCCTAAATTTGCAAGATCGAAAATTAATTGTTTTTTAAATTCTAACCTCTTCAGAAATTTTTTGACCAAACCCAAAAATCAGCAGAAACTCGTGAAACAGCAAAAAACAATTTTTGGGGCCCTTCTGAAGCTTTTCGCTTCTCGCTTGTGTAAAAATTTCATCAAAATCTGAGGAGTTCTGTCCAAGTTATAAACGGGCCAAGGATTAGCGGACGGAAATGGCTGACACGGTTTTTTGATACACGTCCAAAAAACATTTCCCGGTGTCGAATATTTTCGCGAATACTAAAGTAACGATCTTTCTGTTTATCTTAGAGTGAAGATTGGGGTTCGGAGCATTCTTCAACGTTCATAGGTAAATTTTTAAGGAGAGATTCCGGTATACATGACAGGAAGAAGAAATTAGCTAGTAGATGTAAGGGAAATGGTAATGAAGAGGTTAGCGGGGACCAAAATCATTCGAAAAAACCACTAATCGCCAAACTGAAGGCTGGTGCCAACAAGTTGCATGTTACGAGCAGTGAAAGTGATGGTAAGTTTACATTTATAACAAGCCAATTTTCAAAGAAATTCAGTGAGTTGAATAAATAAAAAATACTTTTATTCACCACTAGCTTGAGAAATCGCCAATATTGACCGCGTTACTATAAGGAGAGGTTACATTTCTCCTCATTGGTAAATAATGTAATGAATCATTTATGTACAACTTTTTTGGCTTGTTGGGCACAGAATTTTCACTGCTATTAAACCCTTTATCCATTATTGAATATTACTAATAATTGATGTTTATTAAAAGTCAATACAGAATTTGAAACTGACCCATTATTTTGATGTCGTGGAAGTCTCAGGCTACCCCATCATCCTCTCGTACTGTTACCCGGGGTTATGGGATTCTCTTTCTGTCGTTGAGAAATTCTGAGAATACAAAATCGTAGGAATCTATTACTAGGGAGGTTGAGTGGTGATCTTTCTTTGGAAGGTATTGTGGTATTGTGGTTCAGACGTGACGCTGATAGACTGGACTGATATTGATATCTGTGTATAGATGTGTCGGTCACCGTCTTTAGGCGCCAGCGTTGCAAATTCTGGCATTGTTGACGCATGTAATGTAATGTCTTTCGGTAAGAAATTCTGACAATACCTAACTTTATAAATAATTACGAGGGAGATTGAGTGGTGATCTTTCTCTAGAAGGCAAATGCCATGTTAAAAAAATAAATTATTTTCCTCAAAAGGAAAATATAAGTTTTTTTACTTGTAAGGCAATTACTGCGATCATATTATCTTTTAGATTGCAATGGAAACTGTATGCGAACGTCCAAATACATCATATGGTTGGGCATCTTTTTGTAGAATATGTTGGTCCATGGTTTTGTCAATGAGCAGTATCAGTAATTGCTGCATTGACTTTGATTATTTTTCAGAATTAGTGGAGGGTCTAACTAGGGCTCAACGAAGGTTAGAAGACCAAAGGGGGACAGAGATCAACTTTGAGCTGCCAGACTTTTTGAAAGACAAGGAAAATAACAGTAGTCAGACTATTGCAAATAAACCGTCGCAGAACAATACTCGATTCTATTTGGGCAACAACTCGAGAACAGAGGAGGTGTCCAACTACGAAAACAGAAACATTGTAATGCAGAACAGGTAATTACTCCACATGATGATCCATATTATTTAAAAACAAAGATTATTATCTCTTTTCCATTATCTCCTATATTAACGAGCGATCAAAACTGAAACTCTAGTTGTCTGCGACCCACGATGTTACATAGTATTCAAGTATAAATTTCGTCACCCCGAATTTTGGCTTGCTAAATTGACCACTTTAAATAATTGGTAGGGAAAACCTTTTTGAAAAGCACTATGTATGTACATGTATTCTAAACTTTTGTTTTATTAGTATCTTAGGCTTTAATTAAAAATGACAAATATATATTACACAAGTTTCTGAATGATACAGTACTACAGAATTCACTTTATACGTGCCTCTGACATTTGGCATTTTCCAGTTGTTAGATTTTCCGCAATAAACAACATTGCATTAGCATGCTAAGATTGTGCTAGTACTTATATTTAGTAGAGATAAAAATGAATTCTGAAGGCGTTGTTTGCTTTAAATGAATGTCGAAATGCAGTAAATGCTCTATTTATATATCCTTACATATTTCGGTCGTATCAGCGACTGAGCGCGTCAGACACCTTATGTCAAATTCCATTAAGCCGTTTGAGTCATAATTTAGACATTTCAAAGTTATTTCCCGGGGTGAAGGTTAGCCCATGTGGTATTCCAGACTATATTCCATAGCTGCACCATATTTCACCCAGATCCGTTCAGCCATTTTGTCGTCCACTTTTTTTCATTCATTATAATATATGACATCACATTTTGCTTTAAAAATTGTCGCTGTATGGTTTTATTAAATACAACCTGTCCTTAATTACGTCTTATTTATCACATAGAAATCAATATGTTAGTTTTCAAAATTCTTTATCTAACACTGCACATATTAACGACAGAGCTCCCGAAGGAGCGACTTTTTTTATTTAATATAAATGCCGACACGACATCAATATCCTACAATCATAATTTTGACCAGGTATTATTCAATTCTCAACAGTATTTTGACAACATACAACACTGACGCCAAAAGTTTGTCTCTTAATATAGGGAAAACTCAATATCTTCTACTCAGTACTCGTCGACTTAAAAGTAATTTAATAGAACCCGTGAAATTCCTTGGAGTTTTTATTGATGCGAACTTGGGAATTACACTGATCACCACTTTATCAAAGAAGTTATCTAAAATAACGTATCATCCGTACTATAAATATCTACGTAGCAAAATCGACTTTGATGACAGCATATTATGCTTGCTTCCAGTCTAACTTACAATACTAGATACTGATTTAGGGACATTCATCTCAAGTATCGGAGGTGTCTGCTGTTCAGAGACGATGCTTGAGAATAATAGCAATGTTGCAAGATGACATTTATTGATATACAAATTTTAACTGTACCTTGCATATATGTATTTACATGGATTGTCTGATCTATGTTAAAAATAATTATGATGATTTCAGAACTCTAAAAGAGATTGAAAAATATAACACAAGGTTCAGTAATGAATTAATACCAGAATACACAAGGCTATCAAAAACAGGAAGTAATTATTTTGGTGTAAAATTTTTCAATGATGTTCTGCCCATGTTTTGTCAAACACTCAACCCAACCATTTTTAGACAGACTGTGAAACGATATTTAGTGACGAAAGCTTTTTACAGCATATACGACTTTTTAAATAATGATTTTACCGACTTTGTTCCATAATTGTTGACTATTTTTTTTATTGATTTAAGTTTGTTTTCAATGTTTTTTAAGTGTGTTACTTTCTTTTGTACTGCTTTTCATTGATAAAATGCTGATACTTTTCTCGACGTGTGTAAGCACTTTTGTGTAAAAACACGAAGAAACTATTATTATATATTATATTGATGATATTATATATTATAAGTAGGGATTGCTGATAAAAAGCTTAAAACTTAGGCAACGAGTAATTATCGTATGAATTGGTGTTCATCCTAGAAGATCATTAGGTGGCAAACGGTTAACTGATCGAATATTTGAATTATTCACTTCGACTTAACCATGTTATTTTTCTTCCAGCAACACATCGGATACAGACAGAATGCCGCCACCAGCCCCAACAGGGCAACCGCCCCCATCCAACGTTTCCTCCCGCCAAACCGAAACGTCAATATCGCTGCACGGCCTAGACACAAGCACTGTTAAGGCACCATCCAGACAAGCGAACGATCCGCCGCCGCTACCGCCCAAGCCTAAGATCGTGCCTATACGGCCTCCGAATTGGGGTCACTTGAACGGGTTCTACAAAGCCAAGGATGGGGCGATGATAGCGACACCTGGAGTGCCCATCCAAGAACACCATCGCACGCAGGCGATGTTCTTGGAGCAGTCTTCTAGCAGCTTCGTTTAGTTATTGGGTTGGTGGAGGTTATTGGCGTTCTGTCTATGTAAAGTATCAAAAAAGTTCTTAAATAATGTCAGTATGCTACAATTCAGAACCTAATTGTAAAATCAAGGACCTGTTGAGTCGTATAATTTGTTTGAAATAAAGATCGCACTATTAGATTCACCATACTCCATTCGATTAGGCGACTGTGCTGACTGACATTCCACCAGAAGATACCCAATTCAATTGTGGCGCCGCCAACCAGTTATGGTGACAACTATACAGGGTGTTCCATTATAATCTGCTACCTAAATATTTCGAGAATTACGCATCCTAGAAAACGAAGTTTCAAACAAAACTTGTAGGATTTCAAGGGAAAAAAATTATGATGACCTTCACCACGACCTTTAAAGTAATTACAAGTTCAATTCAACATACTTAAATAGAACTCCCTGTTTTACATCGGAATTGAAAAATGGAGTAACTTTTACGTACAAATGTGACCATCACAATGGCCTTGACTATCTCCTTCCAGGCAATTTCAAGGTCTAGTAAACAGACAGACCCGGAACCCTTTTGCACCGGTGGGCCGTCGGCGATCTAGCTCTCTTCTATTGCTACGGCGAGAGATTTTGATCCTCAGAGCTCTTCACATGATGTACCTGCCAGACAGACTCGCGTGACCTCGACCTCCCCTCCTACCCGTGTGAATCTCGTACATCCAGAATTGACCGATTCGACCGCTCCATTGTCCCTGAGGTATCGAGATTGTGGAACAATCTACATGTGAGGCTTTTCCCAGTTCTACTTATCTTGAACAGTTCAAAAATTGGACTAACAAAGCTTCTTTAAGCTCCTCATGCAGCCGCGGTGCCCGGGCATTTAGGCGCCTGCCTGCACGGTTGCCTTGATGTAAAAACGATTCGCTCTAGCAAAAATGTACGCCATCATTATTTGTGATATTTGTGGGGATAATTTCTAAAGGAAACTTCTCATTTTAAAACTGAAAATGGGAAAAAGGGAACATTTCACGTCCGAATTTGACTTTGACCTCAAAGTCAAGATCGCCTCAAGATTGAATGTTTTTTGAGATCAGGGTTACATTTAAACGTGAAATTTCCTGCCATATAAAGAAGTGAAATTTCGACTTGATCTTGAAAGTCATGGTCAAAAACCTCACTGTCCTGCTGCTGTCCAACATTTGTGATAGAGCAAATTGTTTTCTATGTCTTGATTTCACCTTGAAATCACCTTGAATTGTTGTTAAGTAGTGGACCGAAATGAAGCATCGGAAACTGTTTTTACTGATTAAATTAATAAAACAGTGGTAAAACTTTTTTAATTAATTCACAGCTAGACACACCCGACCATGTTCACTCTCGAAAGTCCAACTGTCGTCTACTTCTCACAAGTCATTTGTCACATATAGCATGCAAAGGGTGTTACCAAATTGTAATTCAACAAGTATGTATGATCAAGGTCATGACCAACGTGATATTCGGACGTAAGCTTTCCTCCTATTTGAAAATATTCACTTGACCTTGAAATGACATTGTCATGCAGCAGTCGAGCCCTACAGCTTCACAAATATTTAGGTGGGAAATTAAAATGGCACACCTTGTATGCGTGTCAACCACCATCTTAAGGAGCCAGCATTGCCTCCTTTCGGCCTGTTGCCTCAGATTATGGAATTTTCTTTTTCGACTTTGGGTAATTCTAAGAATACTAATACCCCTTTGCACCGCCTTTCTCGAATATGCTACTTAGCAAAAGTGATCCGAATGTTAAAGATCAAGCTAATTTTTTGATGTACCAATCCTATTAGGTGAAAACTGAGCTAAGATAAAGCTGTGTGTGTATGTGTTTATTTAGCTTATGTTACAATATCACGTTATCATAAACATAAAAATCACGTATCTAAAATATAAAGTCCTCAATTTTCTGTTGGATATAGTTAAATATTGTGCATTTTTTATTTCTAGTGGTAATCCTTATAAGCTTATAAGCTCCAACGAAGAGATTTTTCCAATGTCCTAGTTTTGAAGCATTCATTATAATAATTGGCATTTGATCTTGAGCCATTTGCTAGCATACCAGATTTTTTCAACATAAATGTGCCAAACTAAGTTGGTGAGTTCATAATTTTATATGTCAAAATCAAGTTTGCATCTTCTGATTTCCTGCACTGTTAAAAAATTCAAATTTTGTCTCATGTCTCCGATTAGCGTGTTATTATTGCAATTTAATAGGATTCTCATTCACTTAGACAATAATAGTTGGAGCCTCTGCTTATCATCTACAAAACAAGAAATTAGTGATGATGAGCAATATTATTGTGTTAAAAATTATTTTTTACACCACAGACGGAGAGAATTTGAATTAAATTCTGCCGAAATATATTTTTTTTACCATTTTTTTTTCCACACATATAGTCCGCAGTAAAATTTGGTCTATACATCTGTCAACAGCACATCTGTAGTAACTTTTTAGTAAAAATAGGTCTGCTTCTACAAATTGGTTGGTTGTTTGCCTTCTCTCACACCAAAGTTATACGAGTAAAAATACAAACCCGGTTATATGATCAATTGCATTTCAATTTAAATTGACTGAAAGTAATTTATCCGCTGTACCCTAACTGTATTTGCTGCCGTAAACAAATCAAATACAATTAGCGTACAGTAACAGCACATCATATGTCACTTTTTTTAGATCGTCCTCGTCAGTTTAAAAATATTCTAAAGTATTATTAAGGCCCAATTCTTCTATTGACCCACGAGAATCAACATTTGTGCCTGGTGCGCAAATTCGAGCATCCAGAAGTTTATGAATTAATGGATCTGATGAACATAATCGATTTCTTGTAAGATATCTCAAACCAAAGAAAAATTATATGTTTTTTTGAAATGGGCGTCTAATTCCCATAATGAATCAATACATTCTTCATAAATCACTATTTTTTCAGTTGATTCCGGACGCAAAATTAGAGAGGTCTCAAATTGAATCAACCAAACAGGCGGATATTCGCCCTGCTGTATCAAATCTGATGCAACATATATGCAATTATATTGAAAGTAACTGATACTACTTACCTGAGAGAGATGATTGTGGGATGCGCGTATACAGCTTTAGGTTGGTTATCTTCACGTAGAATACGTTAATTACTGTTCTAAGGGAACTACTGCGATTATACCTTGCAGCATGGCTGTGAGGATCGAAATTGTATGTGAAGGTCCAAATACAACAAATTGGCATCACCTTCAAGAATATTATATTGGTAAACTGAATGGCAATAATTCATAACCGAACTTAGTTCAGAAGATTTGGCGACTCCCTCTTTATATAAATAGCTATTGACAAAAATAATAGTCATTTTGTGATACATTGGGGTAAATTAGGTGTGATAATGAGATCTTTGTGAACAAGTGTACTCGGATAGAACGTCAATGGTCGGCACCCAACAAGAGAAAAGTTTTTGCAATCTCAATAAAGACAAAAGTGTTACTGATAACTTAAATGTTTTGTCTAGAGCACCAAATGAAAAAAAAAAATGAGAATTAGTAGAAGTAGAGGAATCAAGTAGTAGACTTTTACAAATGCGAACATTACCAAATTATTTGGTAAGAAAGTATTTTACACCACATTCCACAGCCTCTCCTAAAAGTTGGATTTCTGTCTTCTAAAATTAATTCTCTGCTATTTTTTGCTTTTTGTTCATTTGTTAATTTTCCTGATAATAAATTTTTGGATCGCAGTCCAATAGAAATCGTCAGGTGAGCTAAACAAAGTATTTGAATTGTCAGTTTGTTTGGAACAGTGAGCTATTTGAATCGTTTAGATGAAATCATTATATTATAACGATAGATTTCAAAAGATGTAAGAAATACTGCAACATCTGGCATTTATTCTGTTGACAATCACTTAACCCTCTTTGACCACTTTTAAACAAACAATATACAAATAATATAAAAGAGAAAAATGATAGGTATTAAAATCAGCCAGATTCATTCCTAAATGTGCCATTTTTAATTGAAGCTTCCAATTGCTACTAATGTTGCAGTATTCGTGAAAAACCCCACATAGAACACAAAGTTGAGAGTTTTAGGAACTGCACTACTTTTGGAATGATTTCAGAAAGTGCAATAATAATCCCCTTGGAGATCACCAAAATTAGTTCAGTTTTTTTTTAAATAACGCTATTTGTACTGAAAAACTTTGAGTGTGTTTTTGAAGATCGTTTTTACAATATAAGTCGACTAGTTCCTAGGTTTCATGTAAAATGCATATAAGTTACGTACCTTATAGAGTAAAATCTCGTAGCTCCTAGGTGTAACTTATTTTCTAGAAGATAAAACGTGAGTCATTGAGTATCGTTTATAAGTCAGATAGATGGCCAATTCACCGATATCAGGTAAGAAAAGCCAGCAAAAATAGGGCTAACTTTGTCGGCTGTTTTTATATATACTTTGTAAAATATTATTACCAATTTCCAGAACTTTAAAGCAATTCTCGCCAGCCATAACTTCCGCCAGATGCTTTAAAGCCGGGTATCTCGTTATAAATTGACCTCTATCGAACTTGTTTGTATGATCTTTTAGAAAAAAAAAATGTGTTTCATACGAAAGTTATAGAGTCCAAAGTTTTTCGTGTTAGGTTCTTTATTTGTATACTCTCAGAATACTCCTATCGAATAACGTTGCATTTTTTAAACTGTTCGCTTTATTTTATAAGACTGACATGGTATATACAAAAAATACATTGTCTGTAAATTTTTATATTGTACCCTACAGCTTTTGTATAAAACATTTTTTTTTCTAAATGCTCATACAAAGAAGTAAGTGGGAGGTCAATTTATTGCGAGATACCCTGTTTAGAGCGTCTGGCTGGCGGGAAGCGTCTGGCATTGATGGATATTACCTCGTAATAATGTTTTACAAAATATATATAAAAGTGAGTCGTCAGAATTTAAGTTGGGTTAGTACTATTCAGCTTAACTTTCACACCTGTCACCGGTAAATCGACAGTCAACCAAACTTCGTAGGCACGCAGGGGTTAAAAGTACATATAAACGCTATTCAGTAACCCGCCTTTCTTTTTTTAGAAAACTGAGTTATGTCTGGCTACCCTGTGATCTTGGACTATTGCTAAATACGCCATATTTTTCATGCAAAGGTGTTTATTGGGCGTTGTTTTTTCTTGGATAGATGACTGCCTTTTGTTTCAATATAAATCAAAATAAGAGCGCATAAAAACAATTTTGACATTACAAAATTATTCGTACAAGTCAACAGTTGCTTTACAGAACATGAAAACATTTATCATTTTATTTTCATAGATGTACAGTCGTCAAAAAGAAACTTACTGTCTAGAAATTTTCACTTCAAGCAACTGTAAAAAATCTACGTTACCATCGTTACAACAAAACGATTCTTTCAGATATGTTCCTAGGAAAAAATATGCTCAATAAACGCGCTCTAATAGAACCCCATCGCGACGTAGTTTTATCTTTTTAAAGTGATTTTAAAAATGAAGATCTAGTGCAAAGGATGTCACTTTTATATTAAGGAAATAGCTATTTTCTTTACTGTAATGGGGTTTATCTCTATAGCTATAACTGGATGGCGCTAGTTAGTTTGGAGGTCATAAGCTATTTCGAGCGATCTACCATTCAAAACCGGTCGTGTTTGGTTTTGACTTTTTAAGTGTCACGGTTTGTAATAGCTGTCCAATGATGACGTCGTGAAGTGGCTCTTCGTAAAAAAACTGTGTCTGGCAGTCAAGACCAGTAGAAACCTTATCGGATGATTGCTTGTATGTCAAACGTGAAACCTTGAATGTAACATAACTTTCAGGAATTATTCTTTTGTACCTTCTGTTGCTGTTTTATGTCATTTGTGATTTATAACTTTCCGTAAAAAGTTATCAGTGAATATAAAAAAGAGATATCAGATTGCACGGGGCGTAGAACTATTTAGATTTTATGGAGTCATCATCATCATTGTTTTTTTAGCAGAACTTGATACATCATCAGGTACGTTTTTGATATCACAGTAAAATATTTATTTACTTATATTTCAATCACATTTATAATGGTTGTCGCTGGACCACAAAACAGCTGCATATGGCAACCCTGTTATCAGATTAATATTCTGTGTAAGAAAGGCAAATGATAGAATAATCAAGGGCATAACCAAAGAATAACCGCAATTCATCTCGGTTCGTCGCTTAAAAATGCTTCATGGCTAAGATTAAAACAGACAAAGTTGTCAATTGCTACTAGGTTTGTTCATGCAGCGGTTAGTGACTGTGACTGGGATCCTGTGTGAATTCCATCTGTACAGCATAAAGGAATGAACAGAAGTTGTTTGGCGGGATCTTGGACACGATCACTGACAGGTTGACAGCTGTACGAACAGGGCATTAGTTGTTCACGTCAGCAGACAAAATGTATGTGTCAAGAAAAACGGGTTAGCTTCCTATCAAATCTATTTTATGCCCATCGATGTTTTACAGTTTGACCCCCAACCACGCAAGCGCCGTCTAGTGGAAGCAAAATTGGACATCGCTTCCATTGCTACACGTCTCAGATGTATCAAAAACCCCGTAGAAATAATGAAAATGATCTGTATGTTTAAGAAAAACGAGGATTCTAGTATAAGTATATTCCAGTGATGGCCTATAGATTGCTGAGGGTTTTCCTCAGAGTTTAAATCATCTAGACGATTCAAAGGTCGGTCAGCACAAAGCAGATATTGCACTTATAGTATCTAAATCTGGATTCAGCCTCGTCTATTTCGGTCTATTATATGCCTGGGGTATACACAAGTGGATATACACACGCAACACGGTCGTACACACAATACTTTTTTTATTCATCATGTGTTGTTTAGGTGTGTTTTTAAAGTACTTCCAGATTTTAACTTTTTTTTAGCTTTAATTGGTATTAATTTATTGGTTTTATTTTGTATTATAAAAAGTATTGTATTTAATAATAATATATTTTCTACAAGTTGCGAGTTTTTTTGCTGTTTAGTCACCCATCCCCTTTTCAAAATTAATACAGAAATATCGCAGACAAGAATGTCAAAATGCTAGATTTTTCTAGGCGAATACAAAATTCTGACAGTAAAAAATCGCGTCTGACTAGCTTCTTATTGCAAAATTATTAATATGAACGAGTTGAAATTCGCTGTCAGTATGTAACTAGTATGATTATGTATTTTCTCTCTGCTATCCTAAAACCAAATTCTGATAGTAAGAAAATCGCACATCTGACTAGTTATTATATGCAAAATTATAATAAGTTGAAATTTGCCATCAGGATGCTATAAACGTAAGGAGGTATGGAAATGCTACTTATAAAAAAATAGTACGATTATCCCCTTTCGTTTCTGCTATTCTTATATAAAATTCAGATAGGATGAAAATCGCACATCTTTTTTGGCAGAAATAGGAAAAAAATTGTCTGATAATGTTATGCATGTGTTGCTGTTAGGACATGCAGTTATCGAATTCTTCAGAAAATATTTTTTTTCGATAAAAACCGATAATAATTGTCAGTTTTCTTTATAACATGATTTTTTTACGTACAGTGTAGAGAATATGATTCTATTTACTACCTCAAATAAATATTGAAAAATGGATTCATTAAACATTTCTTAATGAAATATAATCAAACAAAATGTTTTCATCAATTATAACATTATGTATGTTTGTTTGCAAGCAAACCAACCACTATAATACTCATTCCATCAGTTGTAAATGAGATAAAACCTTTTGAACAAATCAAAACGTAAAAACTACTTACTTATTTTAGACTCTTTTCTATAACTCCACAATACCGTAATGTAATCTAGTTAATCAAATTAAAAAATAATCAAACACTCTCCTTTGAATTACCATAATCTTCAGTAATTTTCTTATACACGAACAGTAGTAAAGTTAAACCAAGCGATTTAATACTTCACTCTATAATCTCTTTTTACATTAAATAAAAACTCTAGTGATATTCCAAACAAAACCTTAGGTGCTAGTTAAACTCTTAAACGTAATTGTAAGATAATCATAAATAAAATCTTTAATATAATTAAGTCATATTTTATAAAATCACATTTTAAAAGGTTTTTCCAAAGATTAATTGTTAATTGTAAGGATTCAAATATTTGACATGAGTCATGATTTTTTTATCGATATTTATCGTTTTTTAAAATGAGTTGACAAGTAACTGAGTATCGGTTTGCATGCCCTAGTTGCTCTCTGCCCTACAAGCATCAGAAAGTATATCTACTTAGCTACCATCATTCGGAAAAGTAGTATCACATAAATACGAGTATGTCGCCAGTTATTTCTTCGGACGGCCGGCTTTGCTATGATACTGGCAATGGGCTACTATTTTATTCGTTTATTATGAACATTTTTCACTGATGGAAGACTTAAGTTGTCTAAATCTCAATGCTAAAATAGGCTGTATATTTGCTAATATCTTACCTAGTACGCCACTAATTTTTGGTATACGAGATTATTTTTACTGATCTTCAAATGTGCATAGCAAAATATTCTTGAAAGCTTGCTTTACTTGCGCAAAGCAAATTTAGTCACTAGATTTAACAACTTCATTTATAATATTCGGTCATGCAGCACGCTGCGCGGCTTAGCCGTGACACGCCGAGCTCCAGCAGTGCCATTGGTACTATATGACTTGATCTGGGCATCTTATTCTCATTCATGAGGCGGACATAACCTCCAGTTTAGATCTCTGCCCGTGGGATTTAATTCTGTGGAGGTCTTGGAAGTTAAAAATAAGATTTGATCATTATCTGCAATCTTCTAGATCAATATCTTAGCATTCGTGGCTTTTGTTCTTGATTGTCCCCTCGCATTTAACAAATTTTATAAAGTGTTTTTCGAGGGAGTTAGAAACGGCTTATGTCATAGCTATTTCTCCATGTTACGTAAGGAAACGGATTTTAAAAAAGTAAAATTTATTTACAAAGGGCACGGAGCTCGTCAAATAGTTGGGTTGCTTCCATGGAGGATTTGTTTTTTAGATACATTTTTCTTTCATGACAGATTGCAAAGGATCAAGCATGTTGATGTCAAACCGGAGTGATTCTCTTTCCTCCTCATTAATATTCATCAAGTAATTCATTTTTTATAATTTCAATTTAATAACTATTCTCAAAGGAAAGTTGAGCTAACTCACACATTTTCTTACAAGACTGAATTGTCTAGTAGTTTTTCAGGCAGTGTTATGCCTAAATATTGTTTCTTTTGGTTCGTACTTCAGACGCATTTTCCAATGAGAACAAAACCCAATCTTCCTTTATTTAACCCCTTTACTCAGTCTGTGCCATCGCAAAACTGTGGAAAATAGACTCAGCACACCAAAAAACATGGGAATCATAATTTTTGTTCATAAGCTCATGGCTCTGCTATGATGATGCTCTCTATACAAAATTGGAGGGAAACTAAAAATATTATGATTTCCCCTTGTTATCTCTGTTATACAAAGTATAAAAATCGTACAAGTCTGCAAAATAATCAGATTGGATAGCTTTAATTTTGTTTGATAATAACAGAAACGAGAAAAGGTATACTCAGAAATCTGAGGAAATGATGGAAAGGTGCTCTTGATGTAAGGATAAAAATGAAAAACTCGAACATAATGTTGTCAAACAACTTCATTTTCTTCGAAAATGGTAAACAACTAATCTAACTGAACAATGTAAATTGAGTCATTGCCTAAACTGCTAAGTTTGGTGTTTGACTATCTGTAGCACCTTTATTTGGTTTTTCTACTAACTCCGCCTGTTCAGGCTCCTCAAGAGTGCCTACTTTCTTAATAAAAGTGGCAGCAGCAGGTTCTTTAGCTGGCAACCAATCGGGTATTATTTTGGCATGAATCCTCCACCTGCCATATGTGTTGGAAATATGTTTCTCAAACACCACATATTCCAACACATCTTTTGCAAGAATCTCACTGCCATACATCAGTCTCCCAAATCTGTCATATATAGCTAAACTCTGCAAAAAAAAGAAAGATACCATAAGTATTAAGTTATAAAAGGTATTTATTTTCTTGTGCACATGATCACTTGGTTAGTCATAAGAAATGTTTAAAAAATTTAAAGGAACAAATATTTTGAACAAGAATTTTAAACTTGTTGAATAATAATAATAAATACTGAATACTGTACATGGTTCGAGAATTTCATAGTTTAGTAAAGGTACTTGTTGAATTTGAGTAAAAAACAACACATACCTGTTGAGTATGAAACCTGACAGTCAACTGTGCAAAATAATTATCATCAGTGATAACATTGGTACACCTGGCATGCACAATTCTCGGCAGTTCAATGTCTTTGATGTATCTCCATCTGATAGTTTTTTTTTCAATATTGTGAATCACTTCTGGGTATGCCCTTTCTGTCACTACATCAATCAGGTTTTCCCTATCGTTTGCTGCTAACAGTTCATGCATTTTGATGTATATCTTTTGAGCTTCCAAGCAAAAATCTGGACTGTCAAACTCCTCCTCATATTGTCTCACCTTGCGAATCGCCATCATAGTTTTTGTTTTCTTTTGTAGAAAGTTCAAACTTTGCATAGCACCCTAAAGACAAAATTATGGTTGATAAAAATGGAAAAACAGCTGCTGTTTGAAAAAGGGCATGAATTCGAGTTTTTTTTCTAATTCTGATAATAAAATGGTGGTTTGCACTGACTGAGCTCCATAGAAGGACAAACATGTTGCCTGCAGAAAAAGTGGTCACAACATGTCAACTTTCAAAATTACCTGTTTAGTAATAGGTGAAACTTTACCATCACCTTCTGGTGGTACATAAGGCTCAAAGACAGTTCCTGTGGAATGAATAAAGTATTGTCTTTCATTCCATGGTCTTGGAGGCAATAATCCATTCTTCTTCAACCGTTCTCGTACTTGCTCCTCAGTCAAATCTTCTACCTTCTCATTGTAATCTGGTAGATCAACCTTTAGCACTTTCAGCCTCCGAAATAACTTCCATTTTGGGTTCCAATGTTTGGTGTGTCTGTGTCGAACTAGTTGGGTGTTTGTTGCATTTGATAGTGGGGCTAGAAACCCCACAGATGACTCCTGTAATTGTTAAAACGATTATTTTTTTGAAAACATAAATTAAAAACTCTCATTACGTACTTGCAGTAATCTAAGGCCTAATGTACTGCTGATTCTCAAAGCCATCGTTATTTACAAATTATAGTTAACTTCAGCACTTCCCTAAATCATTAATAAATGTTTTGCCTAGATCGTGCCCTAACCTAGAAATGAATACTGGTGAACACTCAGTGTTGCCAGAGCCAAAATTGAAAATTCCGCTACTGGTATCGAAAAACTGGGCTACTTTCCGCTACCACGAGAGAGGGGGAGGGGGTAGGTGGTTGGCGCACCATCATAAAACAGGGGGGCATTTACTATACAGGTTGTGTCAAAAAAGGAAAACAAAAACCAAACAGCGTGATAAAATATAACATAAAACTGTAATAAAAAACATTTGACTATAAAGACCAATACAATATTACGAATAACTGTCAAACAACAGAACATTTATCACGCAGTCATATTGAAAAAATATCACAGGAAACTAAAAAATAAAAAGCATATGACTAAAGGCCATTTCTGTTTTGCATAAAACAATTGAAGTTTTTGAGTTACTTAAACTTAAGTCACTGTCTGTATCACATTCTTCTTGTTGCATTTCTGTTCTCTGTATACTATATAAATTATGTTTGCATTATTTAAAATGTTTTCCACCAAACTCGAAGTCTAAGCAGCAACATTTTTTTTGTATTGTATCCAGTTTGATAAGTATCGCGAACAAAGTTGATTTCTTTGTTTTGATTATCTCCATATATGAGAATGTCCACTCGACATCTGCATTACCATGTGGAAAATGTTAAAATTATTAGACATACCTTGGAAATACACTTCACAGGTTGTGTCACTGCCGATTCGAAAGATACCTGTATTTAGATTTGGTTACTAACTGCACTCATTTTTTTTTTTGGTAAAAATATCCATCATGTGTACCTAAATTGCAAAATTCCGCTACTTTTAACAAAAAATCCAATTCCGCCGCTACCACTTGAAAATTCCGCTACTTCTGGCAACACTGTGAACACTGAACAGAGTAAATGAAAATTGAAAATGAATCTATAACAGGTATCTATTTTATCTATTGAGTAAAAAATTATAGATATGTTCTCTGTCAGCTGAATAAAAAATTACAGTTACCTATTTTATCAAGTATACGTGATAGGTTATTTACCAACTTATAGACGTCACACTGCGTCACAATACGAATCTATACCCTATTTCACAAGTATCCATCACGCTTTGACGTCTACTGAGGTGAACAGCTGATCAGTAAGTGACATTTTTGTGTTGGTCTGCCACGCTGATATTATTGAATCGGATGTAAATCTTGTAAAACCTGTTTATAGCGTTTTATTTTTTGTATGCAAATTAACCTTTCTAAATAAAAGATCTGTTGGCAAGTACAAAATGAATCTGTAGCGTACAAAAAAACAAAACAAAGTTCGGCTCCGTCTGCCTGGCGTTGATGGCTCCGTCAGAATCATGTGTCCGGTGTCGATATGGGGAATTTTGAGATAATACTAGATAACCAGCTGTCATTCTACCGTAGTGGATACTCGTGAAATAGGGTGTATCGACTGTCTTATCAACTAGGCAATTGATAATTTTTTAGACTATAGTGTCATCTATTGACTAGTAGATTGACTATACTTACACTATAAAGATGGGCAAATGGGCATCAAAGTCGATATTATTTTGATAGATTTTTTTTATTTTTACGGTTTGATATTTTTTTGGATTTCTAGCTACATAGCTTTAGCTAACGCTGTTAAGCTTTGAAAACGATCTAAAATCTAATGCAAACGTTATGGTATAAATGAGTTGGTATCCATATTATATTTTCTGTTAGTTTTGATATCACGTAATTTTTGACATCTCTAATCCAAGAATTCTCAAATAGACAATTTCCACGATAGATGGCGAAGTCTGTTATCTCTGTGTGCTGTAACTTCAATTTGTCATTTTAAATTTCATTTTCGTTTAAATGTCGTATTTAAAGAAAATTCTCAATCCCAAATCAATACTACGTGCTGTGAGCAACTTTCACAAAAGTAGTAAAATAACGGAAAAATATTCCAACCTCCTCGCAACAGGAGTATTAAGGAACGTCAACCAGAGCAAGATCGGCAATTTGAGATACTTGCTGGTCTTTACATCAGGCCTAATCAGCTACAAAATATATAATGATCACTTTTCGATCATTCCCACTATCTCTGCTTTCACTGGTCAAAAATTGGCTGGGAGACGGAAACAGTACAACTTCATAGCGGATGTTGTTGAGACTTCTGCTCCAGCAGTGGTTTATATAGAAATAAAGGACTCTAGAAGGACAGATTTCTTCACTGGGAGGCCAATAACCATTTCGAATGGTTCAGGTTTCATTATTGAAGAAAATGGGTTGATTTTAACAAATGCTCATGTGGTTACAAACAAACCGCATGCCAGAGTTGAGGTAAGAAAATGCTCAGTGGTTCTTTACAATATCCATGTTGTTTGTAAAATAGGGCGTTAAATTTGTATATGATTTGTCCAAAGCAGCCATCGAGTACCATTGGGCCAAATTTCCAGGCTCAGGACCCCTCCAGTTGGTATATACAGGGTATCCCAGAAATAACATGCTAGATTGACATGGGAGGTAGATTGGCTTCAGATCAATCAGATAAAAGTTTTCTAGTTTTCCAGATATCACAACTTTTAAGTTTTGTCTAAAAATCCATACTTTTTGCTCCTTTTTTGCCTGTTTGGCTATAAAGAACATCTAACTTATGATTTTTTTTCCTGGACTGCAATTAATAGTTGGTTGAGACAATTGAGTATTAATTTCATTGAAAACTAGCACAGTATGCTAAAACAAACTGAATTTACATTTGGTTTCAATGTAAAAACCTGTACTAAAGTTTGACTAAATACTGTGGCAAAAATGTACCAGCCTGAATAAGCAAATGACACTAATAACTAGCTCTTTAATGCTCTTCCAAAAGTAGTGAAACATTTGTAGGTTCCTTTTACTTAAAACTGAATAATTCCAACTTTGTCATTGAAGTCATAATACTTGCAAAATACTACAAATAAAAAATAGTAACTCTCTTATACACAACCTGCATCTTCTTAAAACTTGTATTTTTAAATGTCTCATACTTAAATTGGATATTTTGTGTGCTGCTTGACAGATTCGAATGTTCGAATATGGAGTTCATCAGCTGTTCGAACTGATTTTAGATAGACCTTACCTTTTAAACATCCCCAGTAAAAAAATCCAGAGGGTTCAGTTCTGGGGAGCATGGGGGCCACAAAATTGGTCCTACCCAGCCAATCCATCTTCTAGGGAATGTTTCATCAAGATACCCCCTTACTGCACTAGAATAGTGTGCAGGGCACCCATCATTCTGTAACCACATCCTTCTTCCTATCTCAAGAGGCACATCTTCCAAAAAAATGGGTAGATGATGTTGCAAAAAATCTAAGTAAATTTGAGTTTTTAAGATCATTTTCCAGTTCAGTCTGACACATTTTTTTTAGTAATTAGTCAAACCAACTATTAATGGTAGCCCAGGAAGAAACATCAGCTTGAAGTTTTTTATCGCCATAACAGGCTCATACATGTATTTGTAAAGCGTTTTCGGGTGCAGATTTTGTCTCGCCACTTTGATATATTAAAGTGTAGACAGACTGGACTGGACTATGTGACGGAGTATTTGTTGCTCCCTGCATTTTTGTAGTTTTTTGCTGTTATTACTTGGATAAAAATTTCGTTCAAAGTTGAAGTTACAGTTTTCTATTCGAGCATTGTTGGTGCAATTGCGCATAGTGTGGTTGGTTGTATTGGTCGATCTATTGTGCGATTCCCGTAATATGGCTATCACTGCTCGTTCATAAAGTGTTAAAAGTGATGGTTTTAGTGAAAAAGTTTTTCATGCAGCATGCCAGGGGCTGTCAGCTGATCTAATAAAAAACATAGAAAAGGTCAATGGTTTACTATGGAAATGTCAGTCATGCTGTACTTACTCCAATGAGGTAAAGCAACTTCTAGACGTCAAACTTGCAAGTCTATCTGAAAATATTCAACTTCTATTTTCTACTTTCTGTACGGAGTTTATGGAAATGGCTGCAAAAAGGGGTAATCTTCCAGAACCTGGGACTTCCGGTATCAAGAAATCTTATTCGTCAGTAGCTAAGGGTAAATCTGCAATCATCATTCAACCGAAAGATACCACCCAAGCTGTGCAAACTACCAAATCAGATTTACTTCAAAATGTTGATCCAGTTTCTGAAAACTTACATATATCTGGAGTGAAGAATATAAGGAATGGTGGCGTGCTGGTAGGCTGTTCGTCTGATGATGACAGTCGAAAGTTGAGGCAGATAGCTGATAAATATGAAATTAAAGACTTCCAGCTTTCATCCTAGAGTGTGTATCGCAGGCATGACTTGGAAACTGTCTGAAGGTGATGTTATCAAGTCCATTCATGTACAGAATAAGGAAGCGTTTACTGAACATTCTCAATGTAAGGTGGTTGAAATCAAGCCCATCAAAAAACGGAATGACATTTATCAAGCTGTTATTAATCTTGATATGGATACATACAATAAGGTTTTGTCTGTGTGTGGCGGTGAGTTATTCGTAGGGTATGATGAGTGTCTAGTATTTGATGCTATTGATATTAAAATATGTTTTAATTGTAGCGGATTCGCGCATTATTCAAAAGAATGTAAAAGTAAGAAGTTTCATTGTCTGCGGTGTAGTGAAAATCATTTAATCAAAAATTGTAAAGCAACTTCGCTGAAATGTATAAATTGTGTGAAAAGTAGTAATGAAAGAAATACTGAATTTGATGTGGCGCATGCTGCTTGGGATTCTAGGTGTCCTTACTATTTACAGCGAATTGAAGAGTTTAAATCCAGGTTGATTTTTTCCTGATCGCGAACTTCCCGGTGAATTATATAGCAATGAATATCATAATTCTGGCACAGCACACTCCTCATGCCCTGATAAAGAAACTCTATCTGTATATTACCAGGACATTCAGGGATTAAACTCCAAATGTCAAGATTTCCTTCCCAATCTAACAATATCTGACATAATTTGCTGTATTGAAACTTGGCTGCAATCAGGAGTACTCAATGCAGAGCTATTTACAGTCCAGTACTGTGTTTTTAGATCTGATAGGGACTTAGTTAACCTAGAATGTACAAGAGGAGGTGGGGCTCTAATTGCCACGAAAGACTTGGTTGAATTCGTCTGAAATTGATACAACTGCTGTTAAGAGTGATATCCCCTGTATAGACCTGGTAGGCGTTCAGTTTACCATTCACTATAAAACCACATACATATTTGTGGTCTAGATACCACCCAATACTAGCATGTTATGAACGCTTATTTGAGCATCTAGAATCACCATATACCATACCATACCATACCTGCATACCTCTCTGGTAATGATGTTTATTTTCTTGAGGATTTCAACATTCCAGAGTTTTGTATGCAGAATGTCTCACCATCACGCAAATTGAATGTAGTTGACTCCTTAATATTAACAATAGATTGCTTGACCTAGTGTTCTCCAACAAATCATGCTTGGTGACTAGAGCATACGATGACCTATTGCCCGAAGACTCACATCATCCTCCACTTTGTATTACATTACACAGATACTCTCGTAGCAAAACCTGGTCACAATCAAATGATGTTACCTTCAATTTTCGCAATGCTGATTTTGTTCCACTGTATGAACAATTGACACTTATGAACTGGTCATTTTTTGAGGATATGACGGATGTCAATATTGCTTGCACTCTATTCTACAATAACCTAATAAATATTTTCAACATATGTATTCTGAAAACGTACGCCTCACAAATTTCCATCCTGGTACACTCGCGCAATCATCAAGGATATTAAACAAAAGAATTCACTACATAAATTATACAAAAAACGTCAAGAGGTGAGTGTCTATGATACATTTAAAAAATTAAGATCCAAAATTAAAAGAGACGTTGGTCATGCGTATAAAAAGCTCATAGAGCAGACTGAAAATTGCATAAAAAAAGATCCAAATCAGTTTTGGTTCTTCATCAAAAGTAAAAGGCATAGTGGCCTTTCACCTTCTGAATTCACTCACAATGATTGTGTTTTCAATAACCCTGTTGATATAGTAAATGCCTTCGCTAATTTTTACCAGTCTGTGTATTCTACCCCCAATGTAGCAGCTAGGCCAGATAATGATATTATTGATACAAACAATATTGTGTTGAATAGATTCACATAAAATGAGGTTCTTATGGCATTAAAGAAAATGAAAAACAAGTTCACTAGTGGACCTGATGGTATACCTGCATTCTTAATCCGTGATTGTGCACCTATTCTTGCTGCACCTTTAACTAAAATCTATAACCAAGTATCAGATCACCTACATTTCCTGAGATTTGGCGTGAAGCCAGGGTTCGACCTATCCATAAAAATCGAAGCCGTAAATTAATTGAAAACCGTAGGCCTATCACTATTGTGAGTAATTTTTCGAAAACGATTGAAATGTTATTACATAATTTCATACAATACAACGTAAGTTCTTCAATTTCTACAGCACAACATGGATTTGTAAAAGGAAGGTCGACAACAACAAACTTAGTCTGTTTAACTCAATTCCTAGCAGGTGTTTTAGATTCTCATATAATAAAGCGTTTAATAGAGTCGATCATGTTTTACTACTGGGAAAACTAAATAGCATTGGCTTATCCAAAAATTTGGTATTATTATTTCAGTCGTATTTGTCTGATCGCAAACTATATGGGGATTTTAACTGTGGTAAATCAATTCACTTTTTTCCATCAACTGGCGTCCCACAAGGATCTTCCTTAGGTCCACTACTATTCGTCATTTTTATTAATGACTTAGTTAATAAGATTGACTGCAATATTCTGCTCTCCGCGGACGACATAAAACTGTACTGGCAAATTGATGATCCATCCAGTTGGTTTTATTTACAAAGGAATCTTGACAGACTGTCTGAGTGGTGTGCTGCTAATAAACTTCCCATCAACGTGAGCAAATTTAAATCTGTAACTTTCACTAGGAGAGTAAATTCAATTACCAATACTTATAAAATTAACAACACTGCTCTTCAGACTTTAGAGGAGTTCAGGGACCTGGGAGTAATATTTGACAGGACATTGAGCTTCAATGCACACCTAACTAATTAGTGAATTCTGCCAACAAAGCACTGGGATTCGTTATACGCAATTCAAGAGAGTTTACCTGTACCACAGCACCTACAGTGCTGTACAATTCGTTTGTTCTTTCTAAGCTGGAATACGGAAGGATAATCTGGAACCCATGCTATGTTACCTCATGTGACTCATTGGAAAAAATTCAGAGGAAGTTCTTGAAGTATTTATCTCTCAAAACTGATGTTGTTTATCCTCCCATAGGGATTTCACAAAATAACTTACTTCAAAAGCATAGGTTTCTCAGTCTTGATGATATAAGGAAGATACAATCTTTAGTCTTTTTGTTCAAAGTTTTAAATTACCAACATGACTGTCCATCATTTTTGTCTATGCTAAATTTCAATACACCTAGAGTACGAACAAGGGCCAACCTTGCCTTTTACTTACCTACCCCACGAACGAATCTACTGCTGCACTCACCACTACATTCGATATGCTCATGTTATAATGACTATAGGAATTATTTCGATATCTTCAACACATCCATTTCTATTATTAAGAGAGTATGTAAAGAGGTAGTTTTTTTTAGAGCTACCACAGTTTGATTGAGCTATGATCAGTGGTAGCTTTTCATGGGTTCTTATTGGTAATTACTAAGCAACTAATGCAATTACATAGATTATTTTGTGATTGTTATATATATGTACTGTATTTCCCATCAGTAATTGGTTTATAAACTGTTGGTGGTGTAATTAAATAAATCAATAAATAAATAAATAAAAGTAGCAAAAGTAGTGTTTTTTCTTAAAAAGCTTCAAAGTGGCAATATCTCGAAAACTAGAAAACTTTTACTAAGGTCATGTTGATTTTATCTGATTGATCTGCAGCCAAGCCAAGCTACCACCCGTGTCACTCTGGCATATTATTTCTAGGACATCTTGTATATGCAGACAAACATTAATTGCTCAAAATGCTACTTGTCAGGCCAATGTGCTAGTGGCCAACACCATAAAATACCAGGCTACCCAGCTTTCCCTTTCTCCCCAGTTGTTGAGCTTGAGTCCCACAGTGCAAAAAAGATAGTGTGGCATGCTTTCATTTCAATCTCTCTTTCATGGGTCCTTCATTGAGTGGGTATTGAAAAGTGATCCAGCAAGGGTCATGGACAGTCCACATGATCACAATTTAGCTTAATCCATGATGAACATGAAGAAGTTCCTGGTTGTTAGTTGTATTCTTTTGAGTTTTGATTTCAGTGGGGAGGTGAAGCCTGGCAACTAGGCCACCTTTATCCTTTTTTGCTGACCCCATAGTTCCATCACTGTTCTACTCCACAAGCCATCTACTGGTAACCGATTATTGAATAAACCAGCTCCAGCCATGCAATGTACCTGTATTGATTTCGTACCAATCTGGTGCGATGATTTCTGTGGTATGCTAGCGAGAAACTTGAGAGATAAATAAAAGAAAAAGTTTGGTTGGTCCGGGAAGTATATACGTATAGTTGCATAAGTAAATTTGCGGGAACAAATTTTGACAGTTACTGGACTAAGAACGACACCCCGAAGAGTAAAAAAAAGCTGCTACAAATGTCTGAAGTTCAGTTTGATTTCCTCTAAGAAGGCGTTTTATGATCTGTCTCTCTCAGGAATGACTTGTCCATGCCTGAAGGTCTAACATGTTTGATACTGAGCATTAGCGGCCGTCGACTTGCCTCTCTTCCAATGACGTAAACTCACGACACTTGGTTCAGACATAGGCGATTACATGAACGCGAGTATCACATTAGGTTCCCACGTTCCATAAGAATGCAATGTTACCGCTTGGTATACTCAAATAATCTAAGGCCTTGGATTTAAAAATGATCATAAGCATCATGGAGCAGACGTTCAGGCAAAATGTGACCTTTGTGGGTCCATTATGGTGGTTTTAAAAACAAACTAAAACTTGAAGAGCAAAATATCTAGATGGAACAAAACGTTTTAATTATGTTTCAGGTAAAACTTATTGATGGTAGAGTATTCAACGGAATAGTAGAAGATATTGACCTAAAAAGTGACTTGGCTAAGGTCAGGATCCCTGCAAAAAATTTACCTGTTATGAAGTTGGGAAATTCTGCAGATTTGAAACCAGGAGAATTTGTAGTTGCTATTGGTAGTCCTTTAGCATTAAGTAACACTGTAACATCAGGAGTTGTTAGTTCTACACATAGGGCATCAGCAGAGTTAGGTATTGTATATATTAAAAAAAGTATATAACTCTGCCAACTATTTATTAGCCACATTCTATCTCATTCAAAATTAAAAAAATATATAAATCTGCGAACTATCTATTAGCCACATTCTATCAAAATTCAGAAACAAAAAAATATTTTTTTTGACTCTAATGTAAGATCCTAAACTTCATATTACCTCAGACTTGATCGATATAATGATTCTGTTGTTAAAAGCTTGCTAAAATATGAAGTGGCAAAGTACATACTGAGGGTCAGAAGATCTTTGCTGAAGATGTATGTACTATAATTATAAAACGAACAATTGTATTTCAGGATTGACAGGAAAAGATATGGTATATATTCAAACTGATGCTGCTATTACTTTTGGTAATTCTGGTGGTCCACTTGTAAATTTAGATGGAGAAGCTATAGGAGTGAACAGCATGAAGGTAACAGCAGGTAAAAAATTACCAATCAAATCACTTCAACTTGTAACATTTATGTATCACTCATTCTACCTGACCAATTAAATGCTGTATATACATTATCAAAGATGAAATGAAATCCTGGCATCATCTATGAGCTAATAATTAGAATCTTGAGTTAGTGTCTCATAGACGGCACAGTAGACTATATGCTCATAACCATATCCTTACTAATATTATAAATGAGAAAGTTTGTATGTTTGTTACTCAGTCATGCCAAAATGCTTGAATGTATTTGGATAAAATTTGGTACTTACATAGATTATAGTCTGGTATAGCACATGGGCAACTTATATATTTATTATACGGGCTACAGTCCAATCAGTTTAATGAGGTGTCTGACGCGGATCGGTCAAAATATAATTGCATGTACTATTCGACAGCGGCTATTGTCTTTTTCACGAGTACCTACTACGGTAGAATAACAGCTCATTGATTATCTGGCAATATTTCAAAAATCCCCATATGCAGAAATGACAGATCATTCTGACGGCTCTTTGAACGCCAGGTAGAGAGAACCATTTTTTTTGTACATAATTCATTTCTGTACTTGCTAACAACTCTTTTACATAGAAAAGTTCATATGCATAAAAAAAATGCTACAAGCAGGTTTTACTAGATTTACACTCGATCAATTATTGCCAACATGACAGTGTTACAGACAAAACCATTGACTGAATTCACATCATTTGATGATGAAAGTTCTTTAAATATATGCTAAATATTTTGGATAAATGTTTGTAAAGATAATATCAAAGATGGAATTCCACTCACAATACCTATCTGGCAATGTAATTTTTTTGTTGGCAATCAAATAAGCACGGGTTTTCTACAAAGAACCAATTATTGAAGAAAGTTGAATGTATGTACATATGTAAGTCTATGTACTCACATGATGGTCGACTCATGGTTTGGATTTAAAACTGGAAATTCGATTTTGTCAGGTGTTTGCTTTGCCCTTGTAAGTAGTACTCACTACCCTCTGTTTCCACTATTACTTTCAATATATTGTGAAGATTATACGATATTTCAATCTTTTAGAGCTCAAATTAACATTAAGCCCAAAAAATTACCTAAAAACTGGTTTATTTATCAGTTATAGTCTTTATTGTCTCACGAAGAATTCAAATTGTGACTTATGAGGTTTTTATAATGGCCAATTCGTATGTTTAAAACATACATTTGATTACTCTTTTGATGTACCTTCTTCTTTAAAGGTATATCATTTGCCATACCAATTGACTATGTGAAAGCTTTCTTGGAAGAAACAGTATCCCATAAGAAACCTGGAGATAAACCAAAAAGGCTATATGGGGATTACCATGTTGACATTGACACCTCAGATTATCCACGAACTCCAACAGAGGAACCATGAGATACCAAGAGACATTCAAGGTGGCGTTTTGGTGTGGAAGGTCGTCTTTGGGTCACCAGCACATAAGTGAGATCAAAATATCATATTCATGTAATTCTGGGGGTTGTGACAATTAAGTAATGCGACTGATTTTATTGCCGCGCTTATGGTAAACCTGCGACCTTAAAATTCCCTTCCCCTTCCCCGGCATCCGTCCCCTCTCCATTGTTATATTTGCCATCACTCTAACTTTTTAGTTCGCCTGTTGTACGAATCGGAAACGAAACGCCAAAGCTGACAATGGTTATCTCTGCACGATCCCCGCCCGAAAAAAGCTCGCTTGAGCAAGTCGAATGTGAAAACGATGATCATTTTTTGATAGCCGTGGAATCGTCCACAAAGAGTTTGTTCCATCGGGGCAAACCGTAAATCAACTTTACTATCGCCAAGTACAGCCAACAGGGTGCGCCCAGACATCGCAAACAACTGGAGCCTTCATCGCGACAACGCGCCGTGCCACACCGCCCTCAGCGTGTTCCAGTATTTGACCTCTGAAGGGATCGCCGTGTTGCAACCGCCGCCTTATCCGCCCGATATGTCACCCTGTGTTTTTTTCTGTACCCTAGAGCAAAATCGGTGGTCAAAGGAACCCATTTTGAGTCGATTACGGACATCCAACCGGCCGTGACGAGGGTACTCGCGGACATCCCAGTCGAAGTGTTCCAGAAACGTTAAGAAGCTGCCTACTTTGAAGGGGATGGCAGAATTGTAGAATAATTTTTAAATTCACGGTTTTTATGGAATTGGTCTCATTACATAATTGTCACACCTCGTACTCCTGTGATGGTTGAGCATTTCAGGGCCAATTTTGTAAATATCCTAAGTTTAACAGTAGTTGTGACTCCATTTTGAAATTTATATTGGAAATTGAACTATTCAAGTCATTGATATCTGTTGGAGTTCATGAAAATTGTTTGACAAAAGCATTACATCACTTATAGCAATCATATATTTACAGATTAAACTATTTTACAAACGAATATTTTCTTAGCAGTTCTCCTATTTGTGTCTTAAATGCCTTAAAATCTAAACTGGATATGTAGATTGTTTGCTTGTTTACACATCCTAGATATGGGACCGTGTGCAGCATAGTTATTTCTATGAAAGTCCATAGAAAACGACTGGTTTATCCTTGTTTGTCTGGAACGTGCAACTTATAAAGAATAAAATTATCACAGTAAATTCTTCTATTTTATAATGACTTGATTATTACGTAATGAGCAATTCATTCCTGAGCAGGAGGAGATGCATATTCTAGAACTGATCTTATAGTTAAGATTATGAAAGAAGTGTTAGATAACTTGAATCATACTTAGCAGTATAAAAATATTGTTTTTCATTTCTAGTTTCTCTCCTGATTAACATATTCTCAAAGAAAAATCCCAATCATATGCTGTGTTGGGATGTTCACATACAATTTCGATTATCACAGCCATGTTGCCAAGCAGAATCACAGCAATTCTCGTAGATGTAACAGCTCTATTTTCACTCTAAAATATTTTTTATTCTTAAATGTACCAACGTTTCTCAACCTCTCTCATAATTTTTCCTGAGATTTCATATTCTCAATGATGAAAAAGGAAATCCATAATTTGCAGCATCAGTCTAAGAGGTGGAAATGCTAGCGCCTGAAGATAGTTGTTGCATAAGTAGTTGGCAATCCCACAGTATATGTCTGCTTTTCTACAGGCATGGCTTTCAATTGAATCGGATATCTTCTTGTGGAATGTGTTGATGATTTCTTGTGAAATTATGTGTTAACCTCAAACAAAAATATTTTCTTTCAGTGGTGGTCTACAGCCAGGGGACATAGTGACACATATAGATGGCAAGCCAGTCAGAGATTCTAATGATGTGTACGGCATTTTGACAAATACACAAACCAAAAAAATTCGTCTGAATGTTAGTAGATACGGGAAAAAAATGGATGTAACTGTGGAACCTGAAGACATTAATTAAAGTGAATTGTTTTTTGTATATTGTCCTATGAAGAATGAAAGTGGTTGTTAATTTATAACATTAGTTTTTTAATTACTTATAGTAGATTATAAAAATCAGTACTTTATTAAGATTAATTTTTTTGATTTTGTAGGAACCAAGTCCAGATCAACAAGAACTTTTAACATCTGTTACACAATATTCTAAACTGGATGTTGCAACAATAGGATTTTAAAAGGAGTTTTTAGGAACTATAGCAAAATCCTGAGAGCTTTTATATGAAGTATTTTTATTAAAATTATAACTATCTTTTCTTCTTATTTCTAACTTCTGTCCATCCATCTTCATCCATTGGAGTTTCATTAACTGTAGGTAAACTTGGAGGTCTTTGATTTGTTGTTGGTCTAGCAGTTGATGTATTTTGTTCTTCTTCATCTTCACTAGATGAACTGGTCTCTAGCTGAAACAATAAATTATTATCTTATAATAATAGAAAATAAAAATATTGGTTGTCAAACTATAAAAAAGTAATTTAAAAAAACTTATAGCACTTGTTCTTGCAAAATGGCCACTAATTCAAAACTTGAATGCATATGAACATTTTTATGTTTACCTTTTAAAAAACTTACCATGGTTTTCTTCACTTGTTCAATATTACTCTTTAACCATTCTGCATTTATTGTTGGCAGTTTTTGATACTCGGTTTCACAGTCTTGTAGATTGCCATCTCTTAATAGTTTCAAGAACTTGTGAAGTACAACTGCTACTTCTGAAAAGAATAAAGGATTATTAAAAAGATTGAAGTTTTAAGTTAAGGGTTGCATGAATCCAGCAATTAAACTGTCAATTCATTCAAGAATAAGCTGGATAAGGAACTAGAAGAAAAGGCAGTATGTATTGCGTACCATCCAGTATGAGGAAAAAAGACCACACAACAGTGTCATCAGACTTTTCTGCTTAGTGTTGTAGTGCTAAACTAATGATCTAACCCAAGCTAAGGGTGTTAACTGCCCTCATAGCATTAGGTTCTGTTCATTTGATTAAGGTTTTATAAGCTTTAACAGATTTCAATATAACATAAGTAGTGAAAGGACCCATGTTTTCCAAAATTTTTATCAGTGGAATAAACATTTTTAAAACGACACATACCCTCTGGTGCCTGGAAAAGCAATTGATGTATGGGTGATCATAAAATTCATCATTTCTCCACAATAAAAATGTAATGTTACTTAGTCCTCATTTTCATATTCAAATTAAAAAATCATTTACCATTATGTTTAAAAAACTTCACAAAATTATGTAGTCATTATCATACCTAGGAAACTAGAGGCATATGGATTTCAAAAGGGTGAATTAATTAAAACTAAAGAGTGTTTGAATTTAAAAATATTTAATTTGAAATTCATAAATCACGAACCGCGCCAGCAGCGTTTCTGAAATGAAACGCTGTCAAGGCGATAAACTGCGCTGGTGTGATCGGTGTTGTTTACTGCTCTGAATACTGAGCACCACATGGACAGCAGCGCGATTATTACTATCGCCTTACTGCGTCGGCGTGTAGCTTCATCAAATTTTCTTGAAGCAAAAAAATTGTTGAACAAATTGTGGGGGTACTGACCTTGTGTTGAACCATCTTCACAAATAGTTTCAAATTCTTCATCTAAAATATCTTCTAGTGCTTCCTGAATTTTGCCGACATCCACATTTCTTTCATACAAACAGAACTGAACCATGTAATTCATGAAATCTAAAGCTGTCTGAAATATTTGTTTTTGTTGTAGCACTATAAAATAGAGAGGTTGGGAACCCTACCTGTTTGCTGTCGCAGCCACCCATACTATGTTCAACAGCAAGACGTAGGGCTGTCCAATTGTTGAAAATATGCTGTACTATTTTTGTAAATGCTTCCTCTGTTGGATCCATTGTTTTATACAGAAAAATATACCTAGAAAATGTTAATTCCCTTTATCTTTCCATTTCTAGGTTATAAATTCTGTTTGACAGATTGACACGTGCAAAACGCATTCCAAGGAAAAGGCAGAGACATGTAACACTGACCTATTGAACTGTCATGGTACTATGAGGCGTTAAGGACCTGCTCGCTAGATGGCGCTCCGTTACGTAGCGCCATCTGTTGGAAGTAATTTGAAACATTTGTCACATGGCAACAGGGTCGTACTGGCCCAACTATATGATAATTTAAAAATTCAAAAACTATAAGATTGTATTGTATAATTTCGAAAAGGATGCCCGATTTTGCATTCGCTAGGCAAAAGACATATTTGATAGAGGGGTGAACTATTTTTCACTTTTTGACGTCTATTAAAGTACGCTGATCAGCAAATTGACGGGCATATCTGTTCATAAGCTTTTGCCGTCTCCACACGCTTGGCAGGCCTCAACAAATTTTCAAAAACGCTGGTAGTCGATCGGCAGGGGTGTTAAGTATCTTAAAAAGTTGTTTTTTGTCATTTCGTAGGTTTTTTTGACATTTAGTAGGTTTTAACAAGCTGTTGTACTCTTGTTAACGCGTTTTGTAGCTGCTATTCGTAATTTGTTTGTCTGGGCGGTCCGTAGGACATTTGCCCATTAGTCACTGTCTAATGTACGTTAGTCGAATCTGTCAGTCCTGGATGCCCAGAAACCAGACAATGTCGAGGAAAAAAAATAAAGGGAAAGGGAAGAAAAAAGGAGAAGAGCAAAGAAAAAACAGAAGTGTTCAAGTGGGAACACCTAGTCTTTTTGACTTGGTACACGGATTAATTTTGAGGTGAACTAAGCAAATTTTGATTCGGTTTTGTTAGAGTGTAATTTTGAGTTTACTAAAAGTTGGCGCTTCTTTTTTGGTTACATTGCGAGGCGTGGCCTTGAATGTTTACGAACTTGCTCCACTGTGTAGTCCACTGAGTCACGCAATAGAGGGTTGCTGTGCGATTCCGCTTGACTATAACGTCGCTGCGCCTTAAAAGCTTGATATCTCAAGCTTATATTATGATATAAGGAATGTCAAGGTCTTTGTGAAGTGTCTCATTTGAGACTACAGGGCGTTGTAAATTGTTCGCAAAGTTCTGCTTTGCAGTACTTGAAGACTTTGCATATGTGTGTCTTGGCAAGAAAACACCAAGCCGCACATGCATAAGTAATGTCTAGTCTAATGATCATTTGATATAGTCGAACTTTGTTCATCAAATTTGGAGGATCTACATAACAAAGGATATAGTTGCCGAAACGCAATTTGGAATTTTTTTTTCAAGGCTGCTGTATGTTTCTGCTAGGTCATGCCTTTATCAACGATGACACCGAGATGCTTGGCAGAATTTGACCATGGTACACGATTGCCGTCTGCAGAAACCCATGCTGGGAGGCCGCTATGTTTTTTGGTACAATAAATAGCCTGCGTTTTCAATAATTAATTTTAATCAGCCACCGTTCCGCCCACTCTAGTACTTTGTCCACCGCACTCTGCAACACATCGTGAACCAGATCATCAGTACACGACTGGGCGACAAGCGCAGTGTCGTCAGCGTAAAGGTAGACTTCACAGTTGCTGGGGCAAGCGACATCATGGATAAAAAGCGAATAAAAGATTGGTTCTAGGAGGAACACCGGTCCGTACGGGGCGGGGCGTGTTGTTGACAAAATATTGTTAACTTCCTTCTTTCAAGAAAGGATTTATTGTAGAAGCCAAAAAGGAAAACCCTTTTATATTAGTTTATAAAGGAGGCCCGCGTGCCACATCTTGTCAAAGGCTTTTGAGACATCCAAAAGCAAGATGCCAGTACTCATGCTGAGGGTGAACCCTCTGGTTGCATGTTCCACCAGCCTGTAACTCGGTGCTATGCTCGGACCGAAAACAGAATTGAACGTCAGGAATCACATGGTGATTTGGCATTTTGTAGCTTTATTTGTTGCTTAAACGTAAGCGAACAGCGATCATAGCAAGTAAAAGTGGAATGAACTAAAAACTACCTAGTCTGCATGCTGACATTTCGTCGGTTGAGTCATTAATTTTCAGATAATAATTGTAGAAGGAAGATAAACCAAAATATCTGTGTGTAAAAATAAAAAAAAAATAAAAAAATGTTACCTTGTTTTATAACAAAGCTTTGAGACTCAAAATTAAAAAGGATATCGATATTGCTTATAAAGACTATGTAAAAAAAGCTGAAGATGATATAAAGCGAGACCCGTCAATGTTCTGGTCATTTGTCAACAGCAGAAGAGGTCATGGCTCTATACCTAAGAATATAATAATAATAATAATAATAATAATAATGTGCCTTTATTCAACTTTGCATACATAGAATAAAACAAAAGAATGATATCTTGAAAACCGCAAAAGTGCAAAATTGAAAAGGTGGAGTGTTACCCTAGGGGTATTTTTCAACTCAACCTCAAATAAAAAAATTGTATCTGTATCATGAACATACACATATCATACAATAATAGAGATAAACATAAGTATTAATGATAGTCATAATAACTGTTCTGTAACCTAGTGCCTAAGAGAAAGGAACTAATCATAAAAAAAAAGAAAAAAAAAATGTAGTGAGTTTCAGCTCATCCATTTAACTACCATAACTTTCTCAATGAAACGTAGGATTAAAAGTCTTTTGTTGCTGGTGTAGCTACCAACGTCCTATCAGCAAATCATAATACATTTTTGAAGGTAACGAAAAAGTATTTTGTATCAACAATTAATAGAACAAGAATGAAAGAGAGACAAGTAGAAAAGTAGTGGGCGTAAACAGAGTCGGCATATAGGATCCTTCACACTTCAGACAGATACAAATTCTTTAGCTTTTTCTTAAAGTTCAATAAAGAGAAGTCATAAAAATCATTTGGGAGACAATTGTATAGTTTTGCTGCGTTATATGAAAAGCTGCGTTTAAAGGTTGATGTTGAGTGGGGTGGTATAACGATCATTCGCCTATTTCTAGTATATAATGTATTGATATTTTCAAACTTTGAAATTCTATCTAAAAGGTATTCCGGCTTTTTGTTCACGAGAACTTTGTGGATTAGTGATAGGAAATGCAATTTTCTCAATCTATCTAAACTTAGAATGTTGTGTTGTTTGAATATATGGCTTATGTGATTAAACTTTCTTATACCAAAACAGAAGCGCAGACACGAATTTTGTACTCGCTGTAATTTTAAACAATCATTTTTTAAAAGAGCCGGGCCATATATGCTGTCACAGTAAGATAGGCAAGAAATTATAAGGGCATCACTTCATTTTCAAGCTACTATTTAAAACACGACGCTGTGGATATAATTGCTTAAGCATACTATAGGCTGAGGAGGAAATTTTATTGACATGGACACTAAATCGCAGATCTGAATCAAACCACAATCCCAAATTTTTGCTCTCATCCACTACAGGTAATGGTATGTTATTGATGTTCAGATTAAACGAATGCTTAGAAATCATACGTTTTTGTTTAGAGCCAAACAGCATTGCCTTTGATTTGTTGGCATTAAGGCTTAGATTATGTGCAATTGATATATTGTATAACATATTAATATCATCGTTAATCAAAGAGTAGGAGTTCAAAATGTGATCAATCTGAAAACTGAAGTACAATTGTGTATCATCCGCATAGTGATGTATTTTGCAAGTTTTTACGTAGTTATAAAAGTCTGAAATATATAAAGAAAATAGTAAAGGGCCTAATATGGACCCTTGTGGTATACCCATTGTAATCATTCTTTTGTCAGAAGATGAAGAGTTTACCGATACGTATTGGTACCTACTAGTTAAGTAGTCCCTTATTAAATTTACCGCATTATCTGCAAATCCAAAGTACTTCAGCTTCATGCACAATATATTATGATCTAGGGTATCAAAGGCTTTACTAAAGTCCAAGAGAATTAAACAGATAACATTACCTTTGTCAAGTGATTTGTAGAAGTCATCAACTATACATGCCAGTGCAGTTGCCGTATCATGTTGGGCTCGAAATCCAGATTGGATCGGTGGTATAATTTTGTTTGTCATAACAAATTCCGAGATTTGCTGCCTTATGACCATTTCCAATAATTTGGAGAGTATTGGTAAAATACTGATTGGTCTCAGATCTTTAATATCTTCTACTACAGATACCTTGGGAATTGGGATGATTTTTGAAATCTTACACGCTTCTGGAAAAACGGAGTTTAATAAACAAAAGTTAATAATATAGGTAATGTGGTACAGTAGATGATCCTCAAAAACATATAGCATTTTCTTGGAAATACCATCATGTCCTGCTGCATCAGATTTAATGCTTCTTATGTTTTTTGAAATTAATGCAGCATCTACTGAAGTGAAAGAAAACAAGTTGTTACTGCGAGGTTCTTTGTATGCATTTAGCAAATGTAGTTGAGACTGAGTTCTATGAACTTTGGGTAGATTTGAAAAGTAAGCATTTATTGTATCTGGATTAGAAAGGTGTTGAGGAATGGAATTTGTACTGTTTTTGACAACTCCTATTTGACGTAGCCGATGCCAAGTCATTTTTATATTTCTCTGTTTCATAGAAAATTCAATATAAGCTTTCTGCTCACGCTGTATGGCCCCTTTTGTATAATTTCTGAGTTCCTTATAATAGTCCCAAAAATGACTTATAACGGTTTGGATATAAGTGAGCCTCAAGATATTCTAAACAGCTTTGCTGACTTTTTCAGTAAATCTTTTATTGCTAGCTCAAGTGGTAAAACCAACTCCACTCAGTCAACTGGAAGTAGTCCTTTAACAGTGACTGAATTTAATGTGAATGAGGTTTATGATGCCTTGAGAAGACTAAAGCCTAAATTAACTTCTGGTTTAGATGGCATTCCGGCTTTTATATTGAAAGACTGTGCATCTGTATTTGCGAAGCCTTTAGCAACGATATTCAACTTATCGCTGCAAAATGGTAAATATCCATCATCCTGGAAAGTGACAAAAGTTTGTCCTGTTTTTAAAAATAAGGGTAACAAGAGCGATATTGAGAATTATAGACAAGTCACGATAATTAACAACTTTTCAAAGGTTTTTGAGTTTCTTATATATGATGCAGTTTACTGGCATGTGCATAATAC